ATCCCCAAAACATTAAGTGGTGTAAAAAAGCAGGGAGAAATGATTGTGCTGGTGGCAGAGCAGGTGACAGGACGTTTTTACGGCCCCCCGGCCGTCACTGGAGCTGAGGTGCCAACTGGCGTGTATGAAACAGGCAGCAGAGCTCTGGCTGTGCAACCCCATGCCAGTTACTCGCCAAGAGACTAATGTCTGCCCATTCCTTGCTATTCTTGCTGCTGCTAGTGCCCCTCCAGTACCTCCCAGTATGATGCACCTTGCCGCTGGGGAGCCGTCAAGTTTCCCAGGGCCTACATTCAGTGGTGAGATGCTAAGACAGAGAATGAGGAAAAAAAACCCAACCTGAGCAAAGCAAGAGCAGGCAGTGAAACAGTTCAAATGTCCCCTCACCTTTCTTTTTTATTTATTCCTTTTTTTTTTTTTTTTGCCTTCCCCTCCCGACTTCCTTCTTTGTCTTGTGCCCAACAGGGTTTTCCTGGAAATGGATGGTTTCTGACCAAGGCTGAGCTGCCTGCTTTGCTCAGGAGGCAGATTTGGTCCCATTTGGGCCATCTCTTCTGCAGTCGAGGTGTTCCTGTGCCAGGCCCTGGCTGCACGGCTGAGCGGTTTTGTAGGGCAGTAGCTGCTCCTCGCTGCGTTGCCCCCAGTCCCAGCTGGGGTTTCCCCAGGGGGAGAGGCAAAAGAAGACTGTATCTGACAATTTTCTTTTATTTGGGTGAAAGTTAGTGGGAAAATACCTATATTTTGCTGACCTCTCCCCTCACCTCATGCTTCCTAGGAAAACCTGTGCCACTTTCCATGCTGCTTGTCCAGGGGATGGTGCCTCCAGTGAGGGTCTTTGGCTCCTGAGTGGTCTTGCCTGGCAACCAGGATGCTACTGGCACAATTTCAATTAAACAGCAAGAGCATAAAGTATTACAGTGCCCTGGCTGGAGGTGACACATTGCACTAGAGCCACCGAAGTGCCATTGGCTATGGGCCCTGCTGAGAGCTGCCATTAACTGTCTGGCAGCAGGGTGGGATATTGGAGTTTGCCCCGACTTTCTTTCTTCCTGCCCCTGGTACTTCACCTAAAGCAAGGAGATGTTTTTCCTACTCCTTCATTTGTCAAGTTTGTTTTTGAGGGAATAAAATGGGATTATCTTTTCTTTTTTGTCACCGCATGAGACGTATACTGCTGTAAAACACTGCTGCTGCAGGGGAGGAGACCTTTGTCATGTGTGTAGGGGTAGGGACTCCGGAGCTCTTCTTTTCCTGGTGTTAGTAAGACATTGAAATGGCAAAAACTATTGTCAGAGAACTTACAGGAACTTGTCTATTTTGTCACAGATTCCCATAGGATCAATATATGGAAAGTGTTGTGCTCTCAGTTTTTATTGTGGGTCTTGTGTACTTGGTGAGCTTTTCTGAAAGATCTAGAGCCAGCATTAACACCGCTGCTTGAAAATCACCAATTACACAATTTTTTTCCTTTGGAAAAATTTTTGGCCCACTTGGTGTGAGAGAAAAAGCTTGAAAAATACGCCTCTAATGGCTCCAGCACTGATTGCTTTGCAAAAGGAACCCACGCAGGCTTAAAAAAAAAAAAAAAAAGTAAGTTATTTTCCCAATTTTAGGGAGTAGAGAGGTTCATGAATTTTCAGTGCTTGGGTTGGTGCTGCGATTTGGGCCGACTGAGCAATCAGGCTAGTTCCCAGCATTGCCTCTGAACCGATGCTGTGCTAGGCAGGAGAAATGGCTACAAGCACAAAGAGAAGGAGTTTATTTAAAAAAAAAAACCAAAGTACACCACCCCCCCGAAAAAAAAAACCAACCCACCAAACAACCAGCAGCTCAGAAAAAACTGACTTCATTAATACCAGCTTGAGTGGCAGAGCAGGAAATCGGCTGAAAATGAACAAAGAGCCACACGGCAGGGATGCTAATGCAAGCAAATGCCAATTCACACTTCGGCAGGCGGCGTGTGGCAGCTTCCTTTCCTGTTCAAACATTTTAGCCAGATAATGAGCAAAAAACCCAAACATTTTTTTGCATAATCAACTGAGTTTGGAAAGGAGAAGCAATAGAGGAAAGGGAAGCCACGGTGCTAATTATTTGCCGGCTGATAGGGCTGTCAGCGAAGCGGCGCGGGACTGTGCGGGGGGCGCCTTGCTAATTGTCGGCAGCAACTGCGCCTTGGGTCGCTGCACTTGCCACTTGGCTGGTGGTGGAAGCTGTTGTTAATGCAGGGGCAACCTTGTTGCTTGCTGAAATGGAAGCCGAGGCATGTCTGCCAACAGTTACTGGGGTAGGGAGGGTAACCGTTAGCAAACTGGGGTTTCATGTCAGTATTTATTGGGATTGCGATGGGGCGACGAAGCGCGGAAGGGTGCTGGTGGCTGGCTGGTGCAGGGCGGTGTGTTTGTGGGAAGCAGATGGTTGATTGCTTTACTTTGCCAGCAGATGATGGAGTTGGCTTCGAACCATCCTGCGTGGTTTCCCAGGAACGCAGGGATCCCATCCGCAGCAGAACGTTGCTGCCTTGAGCGTGTTACCTGAGGTCAGAGCTGGCAGCAACGCTCTCATGTGGAAGGTGGTTTGTGCTGGGGTGGTCCTCACCACCTGCAGCCTCCTGTGTGACCGATGGCACTCTGATGCTCTGGTGGCACTGAGATGCTCCAGCCCTGCAGGTATTTTGCAGGTGCCTTTTGCAGGCTGGAAAAGCAACCTCATGCTGAGTATCTTGAGCTGCTGGTTTGGGGTTTCTCTTCCAACATGCTGCTGCATTTGGGAAAGAAATAAAGGGAGGTTGTAGCTGCTGGACGAGTGGTATGGGCAGGGGGCAGTTGGATCGGCATTGTCCTGCTGCTCCCCCAGGAAATGCCACCTTGCCTCTGCACTCCCAAACCATCCCTGTTTTCTGACTGCACAGTTCTGCAAGGCATGGGGCAACAGAGAGAGGGTAAGGCAAGATAGTAGGAAAAACCTTCTGGAGAGAGAAATTAAGATGAACATGGACAACAAGTACCAGTGATTGAAAGCTCTGAATCTTTATCACTATCAAACAGCTACTGAAGAGGAGATGGCATAAGGCTTTTCTTTTTTTTTTTTTTTTTTTCTTTTTTTTAAATTGGATGCTGAAGCTAAACTGTCCCAAGTAAATTAAACTTCTTTCCAGAGTCATTAAGCCCAGATTAACCTTGGCCCTGGCCTCCCCATCACCCGAAGAACCACTGCTATTAAAAAGGCAGATTTCATTTTCAAGCCTTCTGCTCCTAGAGCTGATGCCAGGCTGTACCAGCACCTGTGTGAAATCAAGGGCTCACCTCGGCGCTTGCTGTAATCCTCTAGCCAAGTGCTGCTGCTTTCACTGCCAGCGTTGAGGAACACTACAAGACCTCCGCGGTCAGGACAGTGCTGTTTTATCCTACCTGTTCTTCCCCTTATTTTTTAGAAGGCAGAGCTTTGTTCCGCTGTTCCACAGAGGTCAAGGCTCAATGTGTTTTGGCAGCAGTGGCTTAGGATAGGTTGGCGCTGGTCTCGTGCTGAGTGCTAGTCTTTGCTTCATCAGAAATCTTCAGTTTAGTGGTGATGGAAAAGAATTCAAGGTGATGCAGGAGAAGACTCCGGATATCTACATTTTCTCTCTATGGACTGCAAAATTTGCATTGAAAAACTAAATGGTGTTTATTTTTCAGCTGAAACTTTTTCTGGTTGGAAGTGCACATTTGCGTCAGCCAAAACTTTTCACTGAGTTGTCAGTTTGTGAAGTTACTTCAGTTGGGGCAACGAGAATTAAAAATAGATAAATTTTTTTTTCTTTTTTTCTGTTTTTGGAAATTAGGCAGAACCTCATTTCATTTTACTTCTAAAAAATGTTCAAGCCCTTGAGCAAAATTCCCCTCCTAGTGGTTAAGTGTAACCCACGTGATTTTCTGTTTGTGGGGAAAGTGGGCTGCCAGCAAACTGAGCATTGGTTTTGATTCTCTGTGTACAGACCACTGTCTGGAATGGGGCTGAACAGAAGTGGTTGTTCCCTTTGTACACAGCGAGACAAAAACTTCTCTGTAACTTATATTTAAGTTACCTAAGGGCTGTGGACAGTAATAAATGGATAACGTTTTCAGTAACCCATATTTTATACTATTATGTACAACTTCTAAACCTTCACAGCTACTGAAAAATTGGGAAGGGCAATCCAGGAATGTGGTCACTGAGAATGGGAGTTATTTGATACTACAGGCTTACTGGAAATTATTGATTGAAAAAGCGCCAACTTTTTAGGAAACGCCATAAAAGTAGACATTTTAGATGGATGGCAATGGAATCTGTAGAAGCACGCACCCTTCTCTGCAAATAACTTCAGTGCCATATAGTTGTCTTCCAACAGGATAGTACAAAGATATTTAAATACTTTTAAATTTAAATTTCAACTTATGCTGGACGATGCATTTATAGCACATGACACTATTTTCTCTTTTCTCTAACTTTTTTTTTTTAAATCACTTAAGAGAAGGCACTCTCTATACAGAGGGTGGAACAGCAGCAGAAAAATGTGACTTTGAAATAATGGGATCTATAAGAATAGGCAATTTCGTTCAAGTATAGTGATTTAGTGCCCTGTTAGTGTCCTGATGTATAACTCCATTTCCAAAGACCGTAAGTTTCTTCACAAGCATAATGACAGGCTTAAAACTTGTGAGACTAATGCTACAGCTTTCTCTGTCCTCAGCTGTTCCACATAATTACAGAAGTAAGGGAACTTTGTTCTCTCCTAACGGATTAGCTCCAAAAGGAATAAATCAGATAATGTTATTGCCTTCTTGTTTCTTGCCCTCCCTCTCTAAGAAGCAAGATAGCCCACACAGCGCAGTGCAAAGCCAGGGTTGTTTTTTTCTTGCATACAGTCTGTGATACAGATGTGATCCCAATTCTGGTGTCACCAGGTCAAACTTTTGAAAGTGCTCTGGTTCTGTTGTTTGTTGATTTTTGGTACTAATTTCAGCTTCTGTGTTTGCTCACAGACGATGGCCCTTACTCGAAGGGGAGCAAGGACTCTGGTGGGATGGACACAGCCCTGGTCTCCAGGAGGCAAAGCATCCCAGGTAAAGGAGGGGATTAGTTCCCACTCCAAAACATTGGGGCATCCATTACACTTTACCTGGCTACCACTAAAATGGGTAAAATCCCCCAAACCACCCATTCTGGTGCATCTATCAGCCAGACTTTTGCTGGAGGGCAGAAATGGATGGTGGTAACTGGTCTCAGCAAGTGTTACAGTGCAATCACAGTCTGGCATGGAACTACTGATGGTGGTTACAGGGAGCCAGGAAGGGGCTGGGTCCTGTGCTGGCTGACACCCACAAAGAGGAAAACAGCAGCAAAGGAGAGAGGGAAGAAGAGCTGCCAGATCTGAGCTCGCCAGAGGGAGGGAGGCTGGCAGTGTCTGGCAAGCTTAGTATTTCCCGTGTGTGACTAAGTTTGTTTTGATATTTAGTCAGTCACAGAAGACTTTTGTGTGAGATAAACCTTCCCCTGCAGAAACACCCCCAGGGGCTGAAGAGGGAGTGGAGAAGTGGTAGTAGATACCCTGCTGTTGGTGCTGGGCTTTGTCTGCCAGCAGATTTGGATGGGCTGCTGTGGACAACTCCTTCCTAATAGAGTCTGTTTGAACTTGACCCAGTCACAGGTTTGGTTTAGTGTGTTTTAGGGGATGGGGGAGCAAATGGGGGGCCCTTTTGCTACTGCTTCATCATTCAGCAAATTTCCTAGGGGATATTCTACATCCTCTGGGGCTTCTGCAACACGTTGCCACTGTACCGCAGCCCTGATGGGGAGAGGCTGACTCCTCGCTCACAAAAGCCAGTATGTCCAGCAACCCCACCTTAAGACATCTCAACATGGGAGGGCAAAATTCACGTGTGCTCTTCCTATCCTGGAATGCTTCGAGTAGCAAAATCCAAGCACATATGCCAATAGAAATCCAAGACTACTGTCATATGGCACTTAGACTATGTTGTGAAGGTCCAGATCCTGTTTAACCAGCTCACTTTTACATCACGGTGTGTCTCTGGTAGCGGCGGTAGATTTATAGAGGCATTGGTCAAAATCCCTTATTGCTTACTTTGATAGATTGATCTCAGGGACTTGCCTTTTTTCAGAGCAGTGATTTCTCCTTGAACCCGTAACAATGGGTAATTGCACTCTGGGAGTTCTCATTTTAAACACTTATCAAGGATCAAAATTAAACCCCATTGAAGAGCTAATAATCTCCCCTTGTGGCACCATCTGTGTTGATCAGTCATGTCTGTAGTTGAGAGGAAATTTGCAGGATAGTGCCGGATGGTGTTCCTTCCAGCACAGCGGGGAGCCCCCACAAAGTTTCTGTCAGCCCCTGGGATCCTGGGTTGGTGAATTGAAAACTAAGTTACTGTAGTTGGCAAGGGATCAAAACTGAGTTTAAAGAGCAGAAGCATTATGGACCTGACGTTTTACAATGAGCTGCCAGTGCCATGTTAAATGGGAGCCCAGCAGTGCCTAAATGCCTTCCAGGCTGGTGCTAGATTGCAAAGAGGTTCCCCACTTGCATTAATCAAGTGCATGGATTATTCTTGGAAGTGCTTTACAAAACAGGTAGTAGTACACAGAGGGACTTGAAGAGAGGTGCAATTTCTGGTGTCATGGTGGCATTACACAAGGAATAAAGTGCTAGTGGTGAGAAACCACAGTGCCAAATGACACCGTGTTTTCTCTCAGTGAAAAAGGATGGGAGGGGAAGCCCTGCACCAGCACAGATCTTCTGTGTCAATATGTTATTTAAGACACCCTGCCTTGCTCTGGAAGTGGTATTGTGCAAGAGGTTTCAAATGTTCCCTCTCCAAATAGAGGATCTCATTTAAGCCTGGTGGGGTTTGCTGTGCCAACAAACTCCTGGGCCATTTGCAGCGTGGGTTTTAGTCCACAGCTGTGGCACTGCTGTTTGCCATGTGCTGCCAATGCCCATCGCCACCTTCGCCTGCACAACTTTGGAAAAAGGCACCCTGTGTGAGGGACACTGTTTGCCTCCTGTAAAATTGTGGGAGATTTCAGTACATTGGGGATAGTGGAGGTGAATGGATCATGTTGTAAGCAAATTCTGCAAAAGCTTTGTAGAGGAGGCTCTGGAAGGCATGAAAATCATCTGATTTGCCCCAGGGCTAGTCCCGCCTTGAGCTAAAGGTTCGAGTGCTGTCATGTGAATTAATGTGGAGCTGCCTTTTGCCAAGTCTGCAGAGCTCTTGGTCTTTCCTTGGGCCGGTGCTGGCTCACCTGCTAACTTACTCCCCTCCTCCATATGAAATCCACAAGTTGGAACAGTTTAGGGACCCTGTTTTTGTAAAACCCAACCGTGAACTGTAATGGGATCAAAACTGGCATCAAGTTGGGCTTATATATAGGTGCTGGAGAGACAAGAGTGTGATCTTGAAAGAAAGGTAAAATGTATGCTGCCTGCAGCAGAGAGGTAGTACTGGTGCAGCAGGTGTGGGGTGTGCAACCCCTAAACCTGACTCTGCCATATGTATTATGGCTGGCAGCGGAGCCAGTTGTGTTGTAAAAGTGGCTTGTGTCTTCAGTTCCAGCTGTAGATGAGGTGGGTAACGTGCAGGAAGTGTGACTTAGACAGGGTGCAGTGAACGAAGGTCATGCCTCCCCCTCCTTCCCCTGCTGATGGCAGGATCCCACCCCTCTCCACGTCATGTTCTTTATCTCCCAACTGAATTGATGTCTCATGATAAGTTTTTAATCACAATATTTTAAGAGACACCCTGTTCTGTCCATCCAGGCAGCTACTGCAGGTCCACAGCATCCTCCTACCTGGTAACTGTGACTGCCTGACATGCAGCCTTCCTGACACCCACCCCGCTCCATATCAAACATAATTCCTGAGATGATGTCCCTGGACCACTGCCTGGATCCCATCACCCTGGTTTGAGTCCTTCCACTGCCTCCAGCACAAAGTTTTTATCCTCTCACAAGCTCTCACTCCCCTGCCTTATCCTGCTTGGTCTTGCCTGAAAGACCTGCATGCAAATGCTTTTCCTCCACTGCTTTGGGTCCACCAGGACACATTTCTGTTTCACAATTTCACTTTAAATAAGCGGAAGATAATTGTATAAATCATCCCAGGTCTGCTCTCCCACCACCTGTAGGAAAAGGGTGTCCTTGGGATTGGGAGGAATATACCTTTCACTGAGATATTTGTCTTTATTCCTGATCTTTCAGAGGAGTTCAGAGGGGTCACCATTGTGGAGCTGATTAAGAAGGAAGGAAGCACCCTGGGGTTAACCATTTCAGGTGGCACAGACAAAGATGGAAAGCCAAGAGTCTCCAATCTGAGGCCGGGAGGACTGGCTGCAAGGTGAGCAATGGAAATGGGGTACAGAGAGCACAGTAAAACTGGAGATGAATAGTTGCATGGTCTACCTACTGAATGAATATAGTTATAATTAAAATAGTTGGCCCCGACTCCCTTTTTTCAAGTGGTCCAAAATGCAAAGTTGTTGCTTCAATAATTAGAACGTCTTCTATTTTGAGTTATTTCCCATGCTCTGTGCAATTATGCTCTGAAATTTTGTATAGCGATATTTGGGATTCTGTGAAATTAGGCAGCCTTGTCAGGAGAGCTGCATGGTACAATACATCTTGATCAAGCTAAGTGGTTTAATATTGTATCTGTTCTGAATACTGAGTGTTTGAGGAATGTTATTGGCTGAGAAAAGGAATGGGAGAAGAAAAGCTCCAAGAAGCAGAAAAAGGGAAGGAGTAATGGAACAATTTTGCAGTAAACAGGCAAAGGGAAAGATGTTTTCTTTTTCCCTGTTGGATTTTTTTCAGACAGCTCTTGGTGTGCTTCTCTTTGACTGATTGCTCTACATGAATGGGAACAGAACAAGAAGGGAGGTTGTGAACATGTAGACCGTGATTGTTGCTGTATGTACAGATCTGAACACTTGACACCGGGAAAGATAGATGGCTGCAGTTCTAGCACTTCCTTCTGATAGCAGGCACATGCAGTCAAGCAGCTAAGATCAGCCCAACATCGGTGGCTTGTTCAGAAAGTTCTCCAGTTACCAAAGATTAGCCAGGCATGTCCTGGCTGAGTATAGCAGAGACTTTGTGCTACCACTGCATTTTTATTTTTTATTTTTTTCCTTTATTTGCAGAAGTGACCAGCTGAACGTCGGGGATTACATCAAGTCAGTGAATGGCATTAACCTGACCAAGCTGCGGCATGATGAGATCATAAGCCTGCTGAAAAATGTGGGCGAAAGGGTAGTGCTGGAAGTAGAGTATGAGCTTCCGCCAGCCGGTGGGTGCCTCTCTCATAACGCTGCTCTCTCTGCTTAGCTGCTTTTTGTTCTGGGGTGCATGTGGGCTTGCTCATGCTTTAGCCAGCATGGCCAAGGCAGTAGCCAGGGGCATTCTGACGTTCGTCAGCGCTGCGGTGGCTGCTGCAAGAGCTGCGTGCAGGCGGAGCAGGGCGCTTTTTCCAGCACAGTGGGTGCCTGTTCATGCACACTGGCAGAAGATGGCTGATTAGGTCTGTCTTGCCTCGGAGTGACTCGGTAGCACAGGCCAATCTGCCTCCTGATGCTGCTTCAGCTTGTTTTTCCCTTTTGGAGTGTGGCTATGGGAGGTTTTATTCAGCCTTAAGCATGCATTGCCAGATCCTCTTTTCTGAACTCTGGAAAGTGCTGTTATTCCTCGAGATGCTTTGAAGTGTGCTGTGTTTTCAGAAGGGAAGCCCGAGCAATCTGCTTTCCAGCTAAGGGGCCTCGGCAGAAGTTGGCAAGCCCAACTCACATTACCAGGGCTTGTGTCCTGATGTGGAAGACTCTGTGCTCTTGCCCTCATTTTTTTCTGATTAAAATAAATTCCTTGATACAGTTCCTTGTCCCAGTCTTTCTTTTGTGAAAACGATCTCCCCAGTTATTACTTATTTAGTTACCCAGATCAATCACAGGATAATTGGGCAGAAGAAATAGAACAACTGAAAAATAAGAGGACAGGAAAAACAAAACTAATGAAATCTAAAGATTTTGCCCCAGATAGGAAACTATCTTATACTTTATAGCTTTGCTATAGGTGCTGCCTTTACATGAAAAGGATATATAAATGACCATTTGAAGCCCTAAGAAGAAAAAAAAATATATAATACGAATTGACTGATTCTCTATCCATTACCCCCTCTGTTCTGCTGTAAAGGTTAGTTAGCTTTTGCATGCAACCTCGGTAAAACAAACTGTGGCTCAAGTTTTCTATGTTCTCATGCTCACTAGAGATGACAGCTCTTAACCTTTCTCCTTAGCTGTGAGCCTGGCTATCAGGAATCTGATAAGCTGTACTTACCAGCCAAGGAGCAGTGCCAATACCGCATGGCTCAATCAATAGCAGCGGTGCAAAATGTCTCCACCTCTGAAGGAGCAGGAAGAACACACTGAAATAGTGACTTCTCTCCAATGAGATTATTGATGCTGTTTATGACTAATCCAGACAAAGAGGCACTGCAAAATACAGGGAATTGTCAATTACTGCCTTGCTCCAGTTCATTGTGGGCTTTTATCTGCGGTGATGGTTTGTTATTGCTGCGTGCCTCTCTCCTTCCCTGGGCAAAGAGCAGAAATATAGTACAATTCAATAGCTTGTGCTTGTGGGTTTGAATTTTTCTCCCCACTTTATAATTTCCTGCTTTGGAAGAGAACTTGCAAATCCAAGTCTAGTTTTCAGGCCACTGTGTCACATCATCTCTTTAATGAATAAACCAAGCCCTGTGTTAACACAAGCTTAGGTTTCCCCGCTCCCCATTGATCTTAGGAAAGGCTGTTGCAGGACTTTATGCTTGGATGCTTAGGACAGAAATTGGATGTTTTCTGAACTCATCTGTGGATGCTTTATACCCTTTTCTTGGTATGCGAGTATGACCCTTTAGCTGGGAGCCTTCCTGTGCCCTGAGCTTTTCCCTTTTGGAGTATTTTTAGCCTGTGTCCCTGGTAGCAGTCTGTGCCCAGCAGCAGGAGCAAAGCAGCTGCATGCTGGACAGTGTTTTGGGGGTTTATTTGGCCTTACTGTAGCCTGGGGCCCAGGGCTGCCTGCCTGCAAGGCGGTACCGTGCCTTCGCTTCTTTTGGGTTAGTTTAACCCAAATTTGGGTGCAGGTTGCAAGCCCTCAGGGTGCTTGGCGGTGAGGACCAATGTGGTCAGTGAGGGCAGTGGGGAGATTGGCTTCAAAAAGCCCCTGCTGAGCCAAGGGAAAATGCTAGCGCAGATGTGCCTAGGGGAGCCTTCAGCTCCAGTTTGCCAGGTTGAAGTCAAGCTCTTAGTCTTTTTTCTGATTATCCTCATGGCCATTCACTGCACTTGGTTTGAAGATTAGGAATTGATCTTTTCAGAGTGGACCAGGCTGAAATGCCATGTGCAGTTCTGGATGGAGAAGACTGGGAAATTGTCCCATATTCACTGCAGTAGTTCAATAAATCATTAAATAGCAGGAGATGGCAAGGGACGGAAACAGTTTCTTTCTTTTTCTCTTTACTTTTGTACATTAAATAGTACTGTGTATTTAATATAAAATTACTGCATTGCCCCTAGGATCAGTTTAAAGGATTCACTTAATCTTTTTTTAAAGTCAAAATATGAGAGGTAATGGAAAAAAAAAACCCCAACCTATTGTACTGAGGATTTGGGATTTTCATTTTCTTTAAGGTCAGCTGGTGACTTGATTCCTTATGCTGCTGCTGTTTTTTTTTAATAAGTTTCCATCTGCGGCAGAAGCTTCTGGCTTTTGAGTAATGCCAAATGCATTAAAGCCAGTTGATAAATGAGACAGTTTTACTTGAATGTCAGAGTATTAACCAAGACAAATTTGAGGGGAGATGCACAACACTGAGCTGGTGAAATCATCCTAAAACATGATGGTTGGCTCAGCCGAAGCTTCACACATCCAGTTTGGGCTCTTTTTGCCTCTAGACAGGAAAGGTATTGGGCTGGACTTTAATTTCAGTGCCATTTGGATGAGTTTTGATGTTATTGTGCAGAGTGGCATGGAAAAGGTTTATCTGGGAATAACTGGGTCTTCCTCTCTTCCTTTAGTGCCAGAGAGCAGTGCTGGCATTATTCCCAAGACCATCGAGGTGTCCCTCTACAAGGAAGGCAACAGCTTTGGCTTCGTGCTGAGAGGTTAGTAGCTTCCCCAGTGAAAATCAAAGAGGGGACAAGCACTGGCAGAGGTGATTTGGGAAGCGGGAATAGAAAAGTAAAAAGATGAATGTCATAAACCTCAGCTGAGAAGTGAAAATGTTGACGCATCCTGTTCAGCCTTCAAGGACTGCCGGCTGCCGAATCCGGGGCAGACTTTCTGCTTTCAGGCTCTGTCAGCTGTTCTGTGATAGATGTCTCTCCTTTCTTAGCACTCTTGTTCAGACTTTCAAACCTCCGGTGACTGATGGCTTTCCTGGTTTGATTACAGGGGGAGCCCATGAAGACTGGCACAAATCCAGACCGCTGGTGCTCACCTACGTGAGGCCGGGTGGCCCAGCAGACAGGTACTGCTCACGTCACGCCTCCAACATTTGCTTTCACCAGACAGACCAGCAGCTCTCACCATACTCTTGGACATTTGTCCTCTTTATCCTCCTTGCTGGTACCTCCCCAAGGCTTCTCATGCTGGTGGTGGGACCTGTGGTGTGCGGGGAGGATGGGTCTGGTGCTCACAGGCTGACCCATGTGTAGATGTTATAAGCAGAAACTCTTCCAGAGGCAGCCACTTAATTAACTCCGTGCAGATGAATAGCTGATGCTGTGTTAGAAAGCAGGAGGCAGTCTGTCTGTTCTCATGCCACTAACTTAATAAGATGGGCCTGATACTATAAATAACCCAAACTATTGTCCCAAGGAGTGTTCAGTTCCTACAGGATCAAAGTAATTGACTTGTTTATATATATATATACACACACACACGTATACACACACAAAATATACATTAAATATATACAAAATATCAATAGATATTTAAATATAGAAAATATACCTAAATATATATATACAAAAACCCTTTTTGCCTGTGGCTTCTGACAGGGAAGGGTCCTTGAAAATTGGGGACAGGCTGCTGAGTGTTGATGGGATCCCTCTGCACAGCATGACCCACGCTGACGCCCTCAACATCCTGCGGCAGTGCAGCCAGGAGGCACTCTTCCAGATCGAGTACGATGTGACCATCATGGGTAAGGCCAAGATGGTTGTGGTGGCATTTTCTCTGACTGCCTGGAAAGTATGTGAGACTTGACATGGTAACTGGGGTACTCGGTTTCAGTGGAAAAATTGCTGAGCGATGTGCTGCCAACATGGATGTCGGGAGTAGAGATCAAAGTCAGTTTAGTTGAATGTATTTGAAATGCCGTTATCCAGTGATGTGTCTTGATAGGAATGATGACTTGTTTTAGAGAAGGGAGGAAAAAAGAGATTTTCTAATGTAGGCAAAGAAGGTGTAGGATAAGTTGGAGTTAAAGGGGGCCGAAGTGCTCTGCCAGCCCTGCAAATACCACTATTAAATGTGTGCAGGGGAGGGAGCTGCAAGCAGGCAGATTCTTGATGTGGCTGTGGCTTTGGTTATGAATTTTGACCCTGCTTAATTCTGGAGCTATTCCCTTTCTTAGAAACGTTAGTTCAGATCTGCTTCTGAAATAAATGAGGGGTGATCAACTGTTTGACCCCAAATAAGACAGAATTTACTGGAGGGCAGAGGATGGGTATTTCTAAAAAGTGTTCTACACAGTAGATATTAACTTTGAGGGTTTGGAGGGTTAGTGTTTTGCTTTTTTTTTTTTTCAGTTGATTTTCAGTTTCAAGCCCTGGGAAGGGGTTTATTATTAGCTACTGTAAAGTCATTTTGAGCTGGCTTTGTGACACACAGCTGTTACTGCAGGGAGCGTTGTTAATGAGTTTAAGGTTACCACAGAGTCCGAAGCTGTGTTGGTTCTGGAAGCTCGTTGAGCTGTGTGTTAGATTTTAATGTTGCATATACATTTCCAGAGGGGTTTCTGCCTCTGCTGGAGCCACAAGCTGGACTAGGTTGGAGTTTTTTCTGCAAGTCTTGCAAACCAGTCCAGTACGTCTGAGCCTAGGATCCAGTGAGGAGTCCGTGATAGCTGGTTGTTTTCTGATTTGTCAGTGAGAAGGGAAATAAAAAGGATGTGTAGCTGAGATAATTTAATACCCAAGGAAAGAGAGCTGAGAAAACCAGAACTTGCTCCTTGCAATGTGCAAGACAATTGCAGTGGGATAAGGGAGCTCCTTGTGCCAGCCCTGAAGGCTTTCTGCTTCCTTCTGAGCTCCTTCCCCCAAGCTTTCCCCTTCCAGGAGAAACTCCATAAGCGTGGCCATATTGGATCTCCCCTGGGGGAGGAGGCTGCCGGGGCCTGGGGAGCCATGTGCCATGCAAACGTGTACTCCGCTGGGAGAGCTGGAAGGAAAGCCTGATGGCTCGGCAGTTGCCTGCACACTGCCTGGCTTCTGCCATGCTACAGGAGCAGCTTCTCTTTAGAAATTGGCTGGTATTCATGAAAAAGAGGAGATGCTTCAATGATGGGAAACAGAAAGTACCCAAACCCTATTTTCTACCTTTTTTAGTTGATTGTGATGTGGTAACTCTGTGGTGATCGGTAAGGGATGGCTGTTCCTCTCCTCGCAGGCTGGCTGGGTGGGGAGGGGGCAGGCAGGGTTCAGGAGGGATTTTGCACAGAGCTGTCACGTCTGCCATGGTGCGTGGGAATGGGCTTTTTTTGAGTTTTGTTATTTGTTCGGTCTCCTGGTGTCTATGTTGCAGAAAGTTGATTGTTACGAAACCTGACCAGGAGCAAAAATAGCCGTGAAGGTGTCTTGGTATTTCTTCTTGAGGAAGTCTCCCACCTAAAACTGTTAGGGTTGAGTGAACACAGAGTGATGGCAGGGTTTATGCAGTGCTGCTCCATCTTGTGTTGCTATAGAGTGGACCATAACCAGATACTTCCCAAGATGTAACAACAGCCCCTTTCTTAGATAATTTCTGCATAGGGTGTGTTTCTCCCCAGCCCTGTAAAAGGATATGCTTGCTCTGCTTTCTTTTAAGGCAAGATAATGCAGAACGTGTAGCTTAAAACAATCTCTGCAGACAGCTTTGCCAGGCAACACCTAATAACTGCAATGGGAGATGGGTGCATCATCCCCAAATCCCCTCTGTTGCAGATATTGTCTTTACCAGCCACAGGAAGATGGTGAGGGAAGGGAAAAACAGGTGCTGGAAGTAGTGTGGGGATGTTATTAGCCTGAAGGGAGCACTCCTAATTCCTAATTTGAAAGCTTGGTGAAGGGTTTGGGAATGACACGTGGCCACAGAGTTCACTTGATTCATTATAAGAGCTGGGGACACCACCATCAAGTGGTGCTTGGCCTGTTTATCCCCAGGGAAAATAGAGGGTTTTACATCACACTCGTTCTCTGCTGTAGCTGTAGATGCTGGGGTGTCGTGGGCTGACCCTCAGTGAGGGAAAGTTGTTTTTCCGCATCTGTCCTTGGTGAGAGACCAAGGCTGCTGCGAGGGAGTGTTGAATCACGGGGTTCCCCAGCTGCCTGCGTGGTTTCCCAGCCAAAAATTGTGCACTGAGGATGAGCTGCGTGGGGCCAGCCCCGCTCTTGGTGCGAGGGACGTGGCAGCTGCTTGCCATCACCACCGAGCATCCCCCGGCTGCTGGGATTGCACCGGTGAGGCCAGTGTGGGATGGGGACGTGGCAGGCTTTTAATCAAATTGGCTGAGGTTTCTCAAGGCCACTGAAGGAATTAAATTAATCTGCCTTTTCCATTTAAAAGGAGTGCAAACTGGGCATGCACCTCCCTTGGGCATCGGGAAAATCTCTGCCCTTTGCTGATGCCAGATAAAAATTGCAACGAACAGATGCTTTCCTGTGGTGACACTCTATCTTATGGGCCTTTTAAAAAAGGGAGGAAAAAAGAAAAATAACCCAACAAATAAACTGATCAGCGAGAAACTGGTGGCATTTGAATAGATACTCCATAAATAAGCTGCGTGTGCCATGTCTTGAGGCACTGGGCTCAAGCCTTTCGGGTCGCTCATGGAGAGAGGAAGCTCTCTGCCAGAGACGATGAACGAGCAAAGCGATTTGCTGTGTCCTTCTCCTCCTCTCCCTTCCCCTGGCTGCCCCTCTGCCTGTTCATTTTTCAGGCTGAAGATTTTTAGGCCTGCGGGGCTCTCCTGCTGATGGAGCGGAGGGCTGGTAATGTCCCACAAATGGGTGACTCTGCTGAGTGGTGGCAGAGGGTAGGGCCTGAAGAGGAGCCCATTAAGTCAAATGCCTCCATGTGCTGGTGAAGCAGGAGGGATCACGAGCTGCTGGGCTCTGCCAGGAATGGGGCAGCTCCCTGGTTTGGTGGTTCTAGGAGGTTTTGGTTTATTATTTTTGCATTTACAAAGGGGGGTGGTGTGCCTATTCCTTTTTCTCTTTTTTACCTTTTTGTGTTTCCTTTTCCCTCCTCTCCCCCAAAATGCATTACAGCAGGGAAAAAATCACCCCTGTAGGCACACCTCACTAATTCCCTGGGCAAGTGCTCATAACACTTGCCAGCCTGGTTGCGAGAGCCATCTCTTCCTAGGGAAGTGAGCAAAGCCAGGTGAGGCTCAAGGAAACCTAGTGCAAGAAGGAAAAAAACCCACAATAATTCCTCTAAAATAAGCTGCTGAGAGAAATATCTTTTACAAGACACCAGCTTTGAGTTGTGGGGTAACCAGCTCTCCTGTACCTTCGGCACTGGGGTGTCTGACTACCTGGAGCAGACTGTTTTCCTCATATCCATCATGATACCATCATGAGTACCACTCCAGCGTGTGGGTGTGAGCAGGTTTTGCACAGCCCTGTGTGTCCTCCCAGGGTCAGCCAGGCAGACAGAGCGATGGGATTTGCTGTACTTCAGTGGGTTTTGGTAGGCTTTCCTCTTTCTGTTTTGATGGAGGGTTAGAGGGTTGGTTAGACCTGTAGTGAGTCACCCAGTGGGTGCTGAATTTCCACCTGAACATTTTGAAATGGCTGGAATTGGGGTTTGGAAAGAAAAACGCAGGCAGGATTTGGGGGCAGATGTTAACTGATTCAGGCCTGAGCTGCTGATGCTGAATTTTAAGAGGGTCCTATTCCAATTTATTTATCCTGTTCATTAAGCAATGCCACCTAAAACCAGCAGATGTCTTCAAAGAGGTTACTGAAACTGGTTACTTCAATTGGTTACTGAAACTATTGTTTCTAGAGATGGATGAAGACAGCATGCGTGCCTTTCCCCCGGCAGTGTCAGGAGATGTAACATTATTCATCCAGCATGGATAGGTCTTCTGGACCCTGTCTGACTGTCCACTAAACGAACATGTATTTTTGGACAAGTTGTGTGACAGCTGTGCCTCAGTTTCCCAATCTGTAAAATGGTACCGTCCTCCTCTGGGAAGCACAATTCATTGCTTGCAAACCACTTTCAAACCTTTACATGAAAATCTGCCCAGCCATGCAAGGCAGCATACGCATACGTGTTTTTTTTCTGATCCTTGGTAACAAAGCCCTAGAGAAAAGATGCAAGCTGCTGTATCCATATTAAACTTGGTGTCACTGGCCTCGGGGATGCTCGTTCTGCAACAGTGTGATTTTTGGCCCTCACTATGTGCTGAGCAGCATCTGAGTTGAAGACCTCATGAATGCTGAGCCTCCAGAACAACTGCTTAGACTTTTTTGGCTTGCAAGAAGGGATCTTGCTTTAAGTAAGGTGAAATTTGCTGTGAAATGCAGGAGAGTTTTTCACAGATGCTGTGGGTGAGTTTGTGGCTGTGCATGGTGGTACAAAACCACCTTGTGGTGCCAAAACAGCAATGCCGATTGACTCCCTACAGTGAGGTTATTGCATGGCCTGCCCTGGCCTCTCTGTGTTTCTTTTTCAATTAGCTTGGGTGTAATAGCCCCATCTTAATTATGCCTCACAAATATTGCTAAATTGCAGACTCCTGACCTTTGATTTGAGCCAAATCGTTCCCTAGAATAATTAATAGAGGCTTGGCTGGTCTTTCCTCAACAAATGCCTCTATAAAATGGAACAATTCTCATCCATGCCACTGGAGATGGGAATTAAAAGGGACAGTGGCATGGCCCGTGTGGTGGGAGGAGGGACCATGGGCTGGAGGCAGGACTGTGATTTCCTACAGTCTTACTGATAACCTCGGTCCTGGTGTGGGAGTACCCAAAGCTCTTTTTTCTCACCTTTGTGCTGAGACCTCCCAGGGAAACACCTGGCAAAGCTGAGAAGCTTGGAGGCTGGGTAAAACCGAGAGGAGTAGGTATTTTCCTTGCAAAGACAGGTCTACCGCCCCAGCAAGCTTTCTTTCATTATTTTTTTTTCCTATCTCCTTCCCTTCAGCTGGAGGAATATAAGTCTGTGTCCCTTTTCAGAGGATACATGCTGGGCACACACGGGCTGTAAAACCAACATAGAGCTGGTGTTTGCTGTTAGAAGAGATCCTCAGTCTTTTGGTGCTTCCTTTGGTAATGAAGGTTTAAGTGCACCTTCTGCAAGCTTTAGCTGGGTCCTTTGTGCATCGTTTGATTAATCTGGGACTACTTTTTACCAGGGCCTGCAGATCTCCCTAGCGGTCCTTTTCAACAGAGAGTAAACAGTATTTTATTTGAAGCCTGCATAACCTTTAACATGGCTCATTCCTCCTCCTTCCTCCCCAGGGAAAAAGGGCACTGTGAGCAGGCCAGAGCCTGAACATCCTCTGGCTTATCTCCAGGGGAAATTTCCAAGGGAAATTTGTGTCTCCAGAGATTCAGCATCTTCAACAAATCTCAGGAAAGACCTCGTTGCAGCTTAGCTTCTGAGATGTGCATTAATGTTCCTGTTTACCAGAGAGCAAGAATGAGCCATGCATCTAGTTTTGGAGCCAAGTAGCATCAGCATTTTTAGTGGAGCACAGCTTTGAAAGAGAAAAGCCTTACTATGAATAATTAAGGGCTGAGAAGGCATCAAGCTCTCAGAGGGCTCTGCTGGCTTTTCCTACAAAGTGGATGGTGGTGTTTCTATGAATTGCTTTTGTGGGGGGTCAAACTACACATGGGGTGCTAGATGTGGGAAGTCTGGTGGTGATAACACGTTCATGAGTCCAGCCTCCTTATAATAGCTTTAGGTAATCTGGAAGCAAATCTGGGTAACAGAAGTGGAGGGAATTTCTGTCTAATCAACCATAGACACAGGCTTTCTTTTTCCTCCCCCTTCCTCAGAAGGGATGAATAGGTATGATGCAGGCTTATGCTAACAGGTGTAATTTCGTAGGAGTTTCATAGTCTCACTTACAGCATCTATTAATTCATCTTTTAAACATGAGTTACCCCTGTATTGTCTAATGGGAGAGAGGAGGCTTTTGTAAGCATGCAGGTAGGTAGTGCTGTGTCTCTGCTCCCACTGTCACACCAGAGGAGCTGAAACGAGCAGTTGAAGTGATATTTTGAAGCTGGTGCTCAAGCACACAGGAGTTGACTGACGGGTAACGGTGATCAGCACACAAGACTTCCGAGTACTTCAGAAAGTGGGATCCTGTTTCTTTGCACCTTTTTTATTTGTGAAGAAGCCTATAACAGTGATGTCCTTTTGATCTTCTTTTTTTGTGCTTTTAATGCTGTTGATGAGACTGCTGCACAGCCTTTGAGCAATCTCTTCCTCAATCTTGCTATTTAACCCCAAGAAAAGAAGAAAGGGGGTTGTGTCCATGAGTGAATTGTTGTAATATCTCTTCACTTCATTATCATATATATTTTCGTGCAGAAGCAATTTTTCTACTTGAGTTTACTTCTTTGTTAAGTTACCACGTGATACAGATTATAGCATGTTCACACCTGCAGGTTTGCTGATACACATGGCAAGGCAGCACTGTTGGCCAAGGCCCTGCATTTAGAAATGGAAAAGGCTGTATGAGAAGTGTCTTCAGATGCTCTCTTGTTTTGCAGATACTGTAGCAAATGCTTCGGGTCCTTTACTAGTTGAAATAGCAAAGACTCCAGGATCTACGCTAGGAATCACACTGACAACAACCATGCACCGGAACAAGCAGGTCATTGTCATCGACAAGATCAAGCCAGCCAGCGTGGTGGACAGGTACGGATCTGAACAGGCTGCTCCTAGCTCTACTTTTCCTTTCTCTGCTGGTTTTTTCTCCCCTTGTTAGTTATATACCATTCTTCTTTGCCTTGATTTGAAATGGCCATGTCCACATGTTCATAGCACTAAGTGTGCTAAAAATATCTGACCCGACACCAGTGGATGCTTCTCACTGGGAATGAATGTAACTCAGTGCATGTGAAAGCTGAGCTCTGTTTTAAAACCCTCAGATCTGACTGCCTTGGAGCTGTGGAATGGCGAGTGGCAAAATCTTATCCTGGAAACTTCTGGCTAGAGCCTTTTCCTGATGGGCAAGTCAACTAGTCACCCTTTACATGGGGATGCAGAAAGACAGGCTGTTATGCAGCCCTAGCTGTGCTTAGTCGTGTTGCTGAGCTGAACTGCTGGCTTGTAGGACTTAACTCACTGCTGGGTGATCCCTCAGCCAGCCAGACTAACTATGAGCGGGCACTATTAAAAAAGGATCTTTCCCAAGCCACCAGTAGCACTGACTCAAACATGAACCATCTTAGTTAGTATTTTGGGCAATGCTTGAATCTAAAGTTCAAATTGTAAGTAAAAAAACGAGATGTGGGTGGAAAAAAAAAAATTGCATGAATTCAAACAGTAATTCACAGTTGGATTTTGTGTGTGTCTGTTCCCAACTGTAAGGCCATGGATTTTAGCCACGTGTATAATTACCTCTCTTGCTGTTTCCTTTGCAGATGTGGTGCGTTGCATGTTGGCGACCATATTCTCTCCATTGATGGCACAAGCACAGAGCACTGCTCCTTATTAGAGGCAACTCAGCTTTTAGCTGCCACTTCAGAAAATGTCAAGCTAGAGATATTACCTGTTCACCAAAGCAGGCTGCCTTTGAAGCCTCCAGAAACAGGTGTGTTCTCCATGCAAACACTGTTGGTTGCCCTCAAAACTCACTTGAGGTCCCTGCTGGGGTTCTTGCTGCTTTTAAATGCTGGCAACAGACTCTGAAGAGAGACATCTGTGGAGGGGAAAAAAAAAAAAAAAAAAGTTTTGATGAAAAGCATGTGATTAGATGACGTTCTTCAAGGATGTGAATAGGGAAAAAAGGTAACATCTGTGCTTGAATGGGAAAATTGGAGTTGGGAATCCCAGGGTTTTGCAGTGCTGAGTGCTGTGCAAGCTGCTTTCTTAGTACCTCAGATAAGAGACTTTAATGGGGAGAGAGGAAAACAGCCTTGGTGCTGGCAAATGTATTTCCAAGTGCAGTTTTCATTTGCTGATGCCTGGTAAGGCTTTATGAAGGACACTTCAGGAGCTAGGCAGGGTCCTTACGGACTTCCTTAGGAAACAAAACTGTAACGTAAGTATTCATCTTCCAGACCAGCCTGTTTGAATGTGTCTGAGCAGCCAGGGGTAGAGTCAATGCATCTGTACCTGCTGCTTTCCACCATCCCCACCAAAGAAATACCGGGGAAAAAAATAATGGTTCCAGTGAAACCAGGCCCAAAATGCCTGTAAATGTCATTAGGAATTCACCCTGGTGAGCATCCTTTGCCCATCCTTAGTTTCTCCTTCCACGAGAGGCTGACTCAGACTCTCACATAAACTTCATTGTGATCATAGCCTCAGCCTGCACTTTTGTTACAGTCCGTACTGGTGATCCGGTAATTCAGGTGGCTTGGGTGTGACTGTTCAGTACCAGCCCCTTTTGCAACCATTTGCAATCACTTGTCTCTCAGGGACGTACATTTTATTAATATTGCTGCACAGTAGCCCTGGGTACAGCTCTTCTTTTCATTCTTTTCTAGGATGGTTTGGGGAAAGGAGGAAAATATCTGTGTTGTCTTCTTTAACATGATGCAGTGTAACAAAATCTAATAACATTTCCGTGTCTAGAAATAATTCTCTTATATTTCCAGTCCAATTTGTGCAGAATTAAAGCAGTTTAACAAAGGGGGTGGATGTCTTGACCTGTGTGCCTAAGAAAAAATGGAAAGCTATAATCCTTTTTCAATGGTTGTTAAAATGAACTATTCTCCCTCCATTAGTGCCCTGGTCCTAATCTTCTTTCAGAGTATATGCATTCAGGAGAAGGAGGATCTGTGGAAGGACAGCTCAGTGTGTTTGCAGCCTTTTTGCCCAAACCTCCATAGATCAGATCAGTTTGCTGTGGCAGAAATACAGAATGCAAACTTGGGAGAATAATTGCAAGCATGAATATGAACAATAAGGGCTATAACAATTGTTTCCGCTTTTGATTAAACTCTTTAAGGCATGAGGGATCATAGGGAAGGACGCTGTTCACCACATGGCTGTTAGGAGGCAGAGGTGTGTGGCTGGAGAGCCGTGCTTGGGCTCGAACCTCCACCGGTGCTGGTGGGGGTGGTGGGCACAGGAGGGAGAGCGCTTTGGGCAAGAGGAACTTTTCTTTTTTTGCTCACAAAGCAGCGCTCCTCGGGGCTGTGACAGCCACGGCTCCCTGCAGCCCACGGTGAGCAGCCCGGGAACTGCACCGAAGCTGACAAACTGCCTTTGGACCTGGGAGAGATGCTGCCTTCTGCTCCAGATGCCAAGTGCCAATTCCACAGGCTGCTTTTTCTGACTTTTGGGAACCAAACAGGGGCAGTAAGGAAAAATGGGCCGTGCAAAAGCAAACTGTCATGGTTGGCAAGAAAGCGAAGCCCGGGGAAAGCAGCTGAGGAGAGGAGACCATGCAAACACATACTTGTTCAGCACTTGCATTACTGAGTCCTTCCAGTCTGTCCCTGCATGGGGTTTGTCATTATATTTTTTTAAAGTGGCTTCTCATGCAATCAAAATCCGGTTATTGAGGATGTGGAGAGGGATCTGAAGCTGCAGCAGCCATGCAAAAATACAGTCTAACGCCGAAGCACGGGATTTATCAAACTGAGTTTGCTTTCTCTGTGGCTCTGGGGGAATTTGGAGAGTTTGTGGGAGGATTATGCCCTGCTCACAAGATCAACGGGCGTGGATGGTGCCCGGGAGCTGTGCTGGGACGGATTGATTTCCTCAGGCAGGGATGATGTGCAGAAGCTTGGGGAAGGCTGCTGTAGGTTTTTATCACAGAATTGTCCAAAATCTCTTCCCTAATGCACTGACAGCTGAGTTTCAAAGGCACTTTTTCCTGTTGTCAGATATGAGCTACGAGTTTATAGACAAATGGAAGAGTTTTGATTACTGTAAATGGATTAAATGATTTTGTGTATATGCCCATAAGCTCTGTCCCTCATGTTCTAAGTGTTTAATTTTATTAAGAACCTTCCTTTTTGTCTAAATATAGCTACATTTATTGATTTTATTTTTATTTTAAAAGCTGCCTGGCTCAGAATTTACTTTTGAATCCACAAAATAGAAATGCCAAAGCTGGAAGTGTATTTTTTAAGAGCTTGGTAGACTAAGTGCTAAATTCATAAAATGTTTAGCAAAGAATAAATATAATCACTATATTGGTTGGAAAACCTGACCTAAATGATTTGATGCTTGTGCTGCATGCACACAAAATGGATTTCCACCATTGCAGTCACTAACAGATGACCTTTAGGTGAGATCTCTGAGTGGACTCACTAAATAAACGGAGTCCCTGTCACAGGTCTGTACCCTCAGAAAGCTCTGGTAGCACCAGTGCTGGCAGCATTTCTGCCTACTTGGAGGACACAGAGGCTGGAGGAAGCCTCATCCTGGGAAGGCGGTTGCCAGTCAGTACAAGTGGTTGCGAGGTTAAGAGCTCTGGGATAACTCATGCTGCAGTGATGCTCTGCTGTGGGATGCCGTTCATGCTTAGCTGAATAAAACAGATGCTTGTAATTTTGCTCGTTCGCCAGCAATTCCTCTCGGAAGAAAATAGATCCAGACAGCATGGTGCAGAAATGTGGGAGACAAAACCCAGTGCTGTTGGGCAGGGAAAACCAAACTGACCCTATGCTGCCCAGGGGCAAAAGGAGTGTCAGTGAGAACAAACAGGGGACCTGTGCCTTGGAGGAGGGGGTGTTTGAGGCACTTCAGAAGAGACTTGTGGCATCGTGACGTGATGTTGCAAAGCCACAGTTCCTGGGACAAGGGATTTCCAGGTGATGGTTGTCATGCTGTGACAGGTTTCTGCCAACATGTGCTGGGCTGGGGTCAGGGATAAAGCTAAAGCAGTCGTGTGCTGAACAGAGTCTGCCATGTTGCTGTCATGTTTTAATTGACTGTTTGCCACAGTGTTGGCATCTTTTCCTGTGTCAGTGGGCCTCCGTAATTGCCTTTAAGCAGTGGTGTATAAAATCCCTTTTGTTCTGGTGAGCTGGAGGCGGCCCTCTGCTACTCTTCTCTTTCATCCATATGTGCATTCCTGGGCAAGAGCAGCCACTAAACAACCAAAACCTGAAGCCAAGCAAAGTGCTCAAAATGGTTCTTGGCACGTGAGAAAGGAGTTGAGCCTTGTCCCGGGGAGGGCAGCTCCAGCAGCAAGGTGAGAAAGAGCACAAAGAGGTTTCCCGGTGCTGTTGGATAATGCTGATGGCCTCTGCGGGAAACTTGTGGCTGGAGGGAACTTCTGCACATCACGCAACAGACTGCAAATGGTAATGGCATCTGTGCGCTGCCAGCATGGCTTAGACAGGCCGTTGGCTCAGTTTGCTGAGTTTTTTATGGAAAAGGCGTGGATTTCTGCCACTTTACATCAAGTGTCAGGAGGTTACACAGGAATGTGTTTTTGCTGCTGGTGCTTGACACGCTGTGGTTGGGTCCTGACTTGCTCAGAGCCGCTATGATGCTCTTTTTTACAGTTTCCTATCTTATGGTTCTTACCTTTTCTTTCTTTCACTTCTCCTCCCTGCCTGTGGTGATTTCTGCTCCCTGGGTGCCATCAGTCAAGGTGCAGAAGAGTGACCACCACCACTGCTGGGACCCCTGTGTCAACTACTGTCACACCCACCACCCCGGGCACTGCAAGACACCCACTTGGAACCAGGCGTCTGGACAGGATTACTGCAAATGTAACCTCAGCGCATGGCGGTGCCCCCATCCCTGCGTGTGTTCATTCATGTTGTGCTCCTCCGTTTCCTTAATACCCAACACTGTAGCCTGCTTTCTCACTCGTTTCCTCCTCAGTCACTTGGAACTGTTTCCACAGGTCCAGTGCTGAGATCTGGTCGCTGCAACAAGAGCAGTGTGCTGGGCAGACCCACACTCCCATCCTCTAATTGTCTGGTTTTATATGGCAAAACTTAGTTGCTGTGGGACAAAGAGGGCATCTCTGCTGATGTGTAAGAAATCCAGCTCAGCCCTGATGCCACACAGCATGTTAGCAGCAGGATTATGGCTGCTTCAAAATCTGTAAAGCCACCTCTGGCAGGGAGCAGGCTCTGTGTGGTCCCAGGTTTCTCACCTTACAGTAAGATAGGGCAGAGGAAACATTTCACTGTGTCCGAACTGTGGGAAGCAAACAGGGCAGGCCCATTGCCCAGCAGCTCGAGTTCAAGCTGTGGTTTCTCTTTGTATGTATTTAAGGTTCATTAGTGCCATTGTGCCAAGCTGCTGTTGGCTGCCCTGCATCCAGGATGCATTTCTCACTTGGTGGCCTGGATGCTGCAGTGAGAAGCAGCCCGGTCACTGGAGACTGATTCCTCTCACCCCAAAAAGGCCATTGAATGACTCGAGCATGTACAGAGAAGGGCAACAGGGCAGGGTGTGGAGCACAGGTCTGATGGGGAGCGGCTGGGGGAACTGGGGGGGTTCAGTCTGGAGAAGAGGAGGCTGAGGGGAGACCTCCTGGCCCTCTGCAACTCCCTGCCAGGAGGGGGCAGAGAGGGGGGATGAGTCTCTGGAGCCAAGGCCCCAGCGCCAGGCCTTGAGAGAATGGCCTCAAGCTGCCCAGGGCAGGGTCAGGCTGGCTCTGAGGAAGGATTTCTGTGCAGAAGGGGCTGTTGGGCGTTGGAATGGGCTGCCCAGGGCAGGGGGGAGTCCCCGGGATCCCTGGGGGGGTTGAAGAGTCGGGCTGAGCCAGCGCTGAGGGATCTGGGGGAGTTGGGAAGGGTCAGGGGGAGGGTCATGGTTGGGCTGGAGGAGCTGCAAGGGCTTTTCCAACCCAGATGATTCTGGGATTCTGAGACACTGCACAGCAGAGAGCAATGTCCAGCCGGAGTCCAAGCCCACCCTCACAGCTGTCCTGCAGTTGCAAGCCCAGGACAAGGTTCTCACCTTGTCTTGAGCCCTGGAGCTGTGAAGAAGCAGCTGATCTGAACCCCTCAGGTGTTTGGTGAACACCCGCTAGGTGAACCCACAGCTGCACTTCTCTGTGCATGTCCTTAAAACACTCTGTGTTTCCCCAGCTCTGGTGGCCGCCAACTTCTCGTCTCCCACTCTGAACGCGCAGGGCTTCCCTTGCCAGAACTCCAACACGCTACCTCGCAGCTCCCACCCCATGAGCCCCCGCACCACCATGCTGAGGAGGAGGCAGAAGAAGAAGGAGCACAAGAGCTCACGTAAGAGTGGCGGTGGGCTGGGGCTGCCTCGGTCGGGGTGCGTGTGCTCGGCCTTGCTGTCCTTATTGTTGGCTCTCAGCTGGGGTAGGATCGTTCATCTCAGCACTGTCAGTGCCCCCCGCAGCCTCGGTCACTGTCCCCACCCCTGCCAGACCAAGGCCTGTGACCAGATCTGTGCTGACTGTGGCTACCCTGACCTTCTGCCTCTCTCCTCCTCTCAGTGTCACTGGCCTCCAGCACCGTGGGTCCTGGCGGGCAGATAGTCCACACGGAGACAACAGAGGTGGTGCTCAGGGGAGACCCTTTGAATGGCTTCGGACTTCAGCTCCAGGGAGGCATCTTTGCTACCGAAACCCTGTCTTCCCCACCTCTCGTCCGTTTTATTGAGCCCGACAGCCCGGCAGAGAGGTTAGAGACCTTGCCCTTGGATGCTGATGGTGCTGCTGCTGAACATTTCATGGTTTGGTTTGTTTTCTCTCCTCAGAGGCTCATTTAGATATTTACTATCATCCTTGTAATATCTCCCATTCTTCACTGGGCATGGTTTACTGTCACTGCCATTTCTGCACTCGTCAGCTGACCGCGGCCTCCCTCGCATCCCAGGTGAACGTCTTGGCACCAGGCTGCGGTTGTTCTGGGAGGAGGAGGAGGAAGGGAGCGTGTGTCTGTGTGAGAGAGCCATTCCCATTCCTTTAATTTTGTTTTTTTTCCTTTCTCTTTGAAAGATAAAGCTTTTGTCTGGGTGCAGAAAGGGAAAAGATCTAAAGAAGTGAGCCCAGCAAAATGTTTTCTGCCTGGTTTCATTGTAGGAGAGCCCAGCTGTATAAACTGGCCTTAAAGCCAAGGTTTTGGACCACAGAGGAGGACTCTGGTTGAGAAGCAAGTTGGTGCTGCGTTTAAGCACTCTTGCTTTTGGCTCTGTAATGGTGGGAAAAGAGCAGAACGGAGGAGCAGTATCAACTGCTGCGTGTCAGGCCCTGGGGATAGTAGGGGCAATGACTCCTGTGGCAGCTGAGCTCCAGCTCAGGGGCTCTGGCTTTTTGCACTACCTTGCTGGCTGGATTTAAAGTCTGCTCAAGTGCCTGTGCACTCCAACGTAGGTGCCCTCTAGTAAGGCTTTTCTTACTAAGCAGCCCAGGTTGTGGCACGGCTTGAGCACTTGTGGGTGGAAAGGAGAGCTGGTTTCATTAGGCAGATGGAACTGTGAGGTGAGCGAGCTGGTGCTTATGCCCTCTTGCTGGTTTCTCTTCCTGCCTCTGATTTCCACTGCTGGTCCATCCTCCACAAGGGTGCTGGGGGTGCAACAACGTGGCAGTGCTCAGTGTCTGCTGCAGACACTTCCCTGGGGAGGAGAAGTTTCCGAGGGCCCTATCAGCACGTGTGGATGGTTTGGTGTCCCCAAGCCAGCCCGAGAAGGCAGCACACGGGGGAGTTGTATGGCAGGGAGTGTCTGCAAAAGGAGATGCAAGGCCTTGCTGTGCAGACCAGTCTCTGTGTAGCTTCTCCAGGTTGCAAAGGCGGGGGCAAGGTGGAGTGGGAGTGCCTGGTGCTGTGTCAGTGGGAGGACAGGGACAAGGGGCTAGCACAGGAAAAAGTTGTCCTTAGTGATGCAGGTAAAGAGAGATTTCAAAAGCCTTTTATGCCTTTTTTTGTTTGTTTGTTTGTTTTCAAACAGGGTTTAAAAACAGATGTGATGGTGTTTTGGTTTTTTAATCCTCTATTACCAGGGTGAACTTGGCTCACATTGCAAAGCACCCAACTCCTTTTATAAATCAGGCAGCAACAAAGCCTGCTGTCCCAGTGGACGAGGGAGATGTGCTGAAATCCGCCTGGCTTTGCTTTATCCTCTTGCCAAGCCTGAAGCGAAAGCAAAGCCTCGTGGTGCAGTCTTGCTTGGATCTGATGTGTCACACGCAGTGCTCTCCCTCTCAGCTGCCCACCCAGCAGGATTCACGCTCTCCTGGCTGCCGCTTTCTGGCGACAGGGAACAATCCTCTCTGCATTTGCAGCCTGGATTTGATTTGGGGATTAAATCTCTGCAGTGTATTTCTTCCTTTCCTAGACCATGCTGCTCTTCCTACCTAGCAGGAAAACACTGTATTTCCTCCCCATCTTGAAGTGATAAGTGCACTGGGTTTGCAGAGAGGCGAAAAAGGCAGTTTTATGTTTTCCTTTCAATATTTGTTTCTTGTTATCTCACAGAGCTTGTTTGCTCCGTCCTTCCTGGACACCTTGTTCCCTGCCCTTCAGAGGTTCTGCTGTAGCTGCAGCCTGAGACATTAGAGCCATTTTTCTCCTCTTTACCAAGCTGGGCTCTCAGCTGAGGCTGGGCTATGCTCTTTGTTGTGCTGCAGTTGTTGCTCTGTGAAAGAGGGTGAGCAGTGGCAATACAGGGATTGGGCTTAGCAGCCGAGGTCTGTCCTGCACGTTCACACACTCCTGTGCCAAACCTGTGAATCTGAATGTGCTGTTGTACTAGTGCACTATCCAAAATAGCTTTGTCCATCTGACTTGCTGTGGAGGAGCTGCCTCCTGGGCGTGTGTCTAGTTGGAGTAATACCAGGGAGGAGGATGGCATCTCCCTCTTTTCAGGGAGATTGGATTGCCTCCCATTTATTATCTGCTTCGTGCTAACTTGTGGCTGGTGGTTTGAAGCAAAAGCTCTCACCTGCCTGAATTGTGGTCTGTTTTATAGCCAGTAGCCTCTAATAGACCTCCCTCCCCACCTGTTGTTTTGTTTTCTGGGTGCAAGATGAAGCCTTCAGGCTCCAAATGAGACAGTGATTCAGCCCCTGTTATCATCAGGGAGGGTGGAATAGGAAGGTGCCTGACATCCCCTCTTGGCTGCCTTGAAACACGCAGCTTTTGTGTCCTTCCTCCCGCAGCTGTCATTGACAGCAGTGGGAGAGTATCTGGCTTCTCCATCTCGGTATCCAAAATCAATGTTTCCTGCTGGCTTACATGTTTTCTACCTCTGCTCAGACACAATTGTTTGATCATTGTGTTTCTGGCTTTTGAGTATGAATAGTTTGCAAAAGGAAAGTTTAGCAGCTGGGTAAAGCTGTCAGCAAACCTTTGACCTTTTGGGGGCTGGGACCTACCCACCGGTGTGCACACACAGATGCAGTACACACGGAGATGTGCGTGTCTGACCTGTGCAGCCCCACTCTGGGACACATAAGGGCACGAGGGGTCGGTTTCTGCAGCCAGCGATGTGGCCGTGGTCACAGCTGCTGCCGCTCACCCCACAGCTGGAGTGACCACGCAGATGCTGATGATGCTAAGGAGGATCTTTAGCACATATCCTGCCCAAGGCCTGAATATGTGCTGCTCTGTGTCTAGCAAGACGCCTCCTCTGTTCTGTTGGTGTCTTTGAGCCCAAGGAATGAGTCATGACAAGATGCAGATCTCTGCAACCCCAGGGAGACATTCCCATTGTGGACTCCAACACATCCATAGGGCTGTCTTGCACTACAGGAGATGCCTGTACTCTTGTTCTCTCTGATTTTAATGCACTTCTCCTCCTGTGATTTCAAAGGACTTTGTGAGCTCTGCTGTTAGACTGCACATCTCTGAGACAAATGCCCTCTCTTTTGGAAAGCCATCCAAAAGGAATATGTAGGATCCCACAGCAGAGCCAAGGAGAGCTCTGCAGGAGCCTTGGCTCCCTGGGCCCTGCTCCCAACCCAAGGGCACATGCCAGCTGGAAACTGGTGTCTCTGGAGTTATTCTGAAGCGTTAACAAGGCATGTCGGGTTTCCTTGCACTTGTGGAGGGAGCCAGAAGATTGCAGCTTCACTCCACAAACTTTTAGAAACCTGCAGGACTGGGGCTTAAACAATCGTGATTGACTGAGGCTAATAATAAAAGAAATAAAATACTTCTGACCTAACAGAGCTGTTGGCTGTAAAACACCCAGGCAAATCTACCTTGAGTGAAGAAACACAAGAAACGGTTGTTTTGTGAGAAGGCAGCTCTGGTGAGAAAGGTGGGAAAGGTGGGAAATGTTTACTTTGATGTTGTGTAAAAGTATCTTGTGATCGCCCAGCCCCTGCACCTGCAACAGTGGTGCCAAAATGGATTGTGTATTTTTAAAAAATTGTCCTTTCGTGCTCTTGAAAGACAGTGATGTCTTTGTGATGCAGATGTGGATCCCTCCTTTCCGAAAGGTGCATCGTGGCCATAGCAAGAGAGCTCTTGGTGCTGGAGCAGGCATCTCTGTCGTCCTCTTTGCCGTCTTCCTATTTACAAGCTGATTATTTCCAAGCACATCTGTGTGGCTGCATAGCCACAAGTCCAGTGAAGGACTGTAATTAAACTGGATGTAATTTATTCACAAGAGTGGATTCATTTATACACCATGGAGTTGTCTGTCCTAATCCAAGTCTCCTTGAACAAACAGTTCTCAATTTACATCTCATAAAATAGCCAGCGTTTTACCATGGATGGCGTGAACTCAGGCAGCAGCGTAAACATACCACAAGTTTAATACCTTTCTACCAGCAAAAATAACCTCCCTAGGCTCTCTCCAAACTTGCTCAGCTTTTGATGGGCCACTGGCAAAAACTGTTGTGCTTGTGCATTTTTCTTGAATTTAGATGTGTGTAGTTTTTCTTGATAACCTGGCCTTTTTCATATACATCCTGTTGTTTGGAGGTGAATAATGCAGCCCCTGTCCATTGCCTTTGGTGTTATCTTCATGTGCCTGGAAGCTGCGGTACCATGTTTTCTTACAATTGAATTGGGTGTGAGCGATGAAGAGTGGTTGAAAGGGTTAGTAAAAACCAAGCTGTCTTCTGTGAAGTGTCAGTGGAAGCTGACACGTAGAAAGGAGATGATGAAGGATGTGCTTGATCAGTTAAACGGGAGGGGAATACAGATTCTCTGAAGAAGGCTCAAAACAGGACAGCTGATGCCTTCTGGGAAATTTTTGTGGTAAAATAGCTCCAAATGTTGAGGTGAACGTTAGACTTGATCCCATAACCCTTAACCCGGTTTAGAGACCACTCTGTAGCTTACATTAATGATGTATGAAGAATGGTTTCACAAGCTCTGCTCAAGTGGACAGCCTTACAGACAGGTGATGAGTGGAAAATCCGAAAAGATGTGGTTATAGGGAACAATTGATGAAGGGTAGAGAGAAGGAAGATGAGCCCGTGGCCAGTCATGGGGAACACCACACTCTTGATTTCATACAGCCACAGGCCAGCTCAGATTAGCTGTGGGAGATAACTTGGAGAATTGTCTGGCTGGTGTTGCAGTATATTAAAAAAAAAAAAAGGGTGTGGGTGAGTGGATAATGAATGTAGGAATGCAGGGGTTCATGTGTGGAAACACCTTGCTTCTAAATCCAGAGGGATCCCAAGTGACAAACCATGCTGTAGCAGTATCTCTCCAACATAGCCTTGCCATCATTGTTTTTCTTCCAAAGCAAAAAAAAAACAAACCCAAACCTGTTGATCTCTGTTCTTGGAGAAAGTGGGTCTAAACCAAAAAACCCCAAAGGGCCAGTTGTGGTTATATTGGTGGGCTATTGCATCAGGATAATATTGGCCTTTCGAGGCAGTTAAACAGTATCAATGTACGTTTGGCTTCCAGAAATGCAATTACAAGGGATAAATGATTATCCAATTTGCTGAGACATTTCAGTGGGTTCGTTGGATTGTAGCTTCGGTATTAGCCATGTATTAAGCAGAGGAATCTGTGCCATTTTCAGTGCCCTTAGTTTGGGTTTCAGAGGGTGCAGGCACATGGAAAGAGCCATATACCATTAGGTAGGGTAGGAGGGCAACATGCCCTTGCATTTATCACTCTCATCTCTTGGCCGTGGTGTTGACTTTTGGGAAGGTGAGAGTTGTTGTTTGTTTTTTTTTTTTTCTCTGAAAGTTACAGGAAATGTGACCAAAAATGGGTATTTAGCAGCAAAATATGCCTGACCTTAAGCAAACCACAAGGGTTTGCTGCCTTGTGACCTTCCAGGGGCTCCCAGCACTGGGACGGGCATTGCAGAATGAGTTATCTGCTCTTTGGGGCCACTTCTGCAGGATTTGTCACTACTCTGTGTGTCTTGTAACAGATATGCCTGGCAAAAGTAACTCATGGCTGCTTGTGGGGTTGTTTTTTTCTCCTTTCCTCTTTTTTTCCTGCCTCCTTGTTCCCCTTCCCTCTTTTCCCAATGTGGACTGTAGGTGTGGGCTGCTACAAGTAGGAGACAGAGTCCTTTCTATCAACGGCATTGCGACTGAGGACGGGACTATGGAGGAAGCTAATCAGCTTTTGCGTGACGCCGCGCTCACCAACAAAGTGGTGCTGGAGATCGAGTTCGATGTCGCAGGTACGTTGCCAAAGGAATTGCTGCTCCTCACTACCAGCAGGATTCTGCCAGGGCCTTTGCTAACCCGCAGGAGGGAGTCTACTCACACAAATACATGAGGGTTTTGCTAGAGCTCAGAGGGAAGAGTGAGAACACCCTGTGAGGATTTGTTGTTATTCTCTAATGTGCGCTGAGAGGGAGGGTCCTTCTTCTGATCCTTCCATAAACGCCTTGTCCTCACCACTTGGCTGAGGTAAACCTAAGGAGTAGATGAAGAGGCCACCTGCCCTTTGAATATTTGTCCATTAATATGAATAATATTTATATTAATTTATGGCTTTGAAGCAAGGAGGGAGCCAAAGCTGTTGGCTGGGGCTAAAGTACAGCTTTGTGTTAAAAAGAAACAATTTTTTTTCCTTTTACACTGACAGAGCTACCTCAGTCTTGAAATACAGTGTGATGTGAGCATTTCACTTGATGTTCAGAGCATGTATTTTTAATGAGCATCCAAATTTTAACCTAAGGTCTGCAGGGCCTCAGATAACAACCTTATTTGAAACAATAAAGCTGAGTTTTATGAACTTGTTTTTCTTGGTTCCAAAGAAACCATCCGTGCAACTGAAAACTCTCTATTCTCCTATTTTCTTTTTTTGTCTGCTTTTGGTTTTACAGAGTCTGTCATACCCAGCAGCGGTACTTTCCACGTTAAATTGCCCAAGAAAAGAGGTGTAGAGCTTGGAATTACAATCAGCTGTAAGTATTGCTCAGACTTGTGCACCCTGGCACATCAGAGAGGCCCAATGGAGAGAGATCAGATTACGTGGGGTTTCCTGGTAGCGTTTGCAGTGCTTGTGATTTATCCTAAACTGAACTACATGTGTGGTTCCTGCCCCCACGAGCTGGCAGGCACAGAGAAAAGCAGCTGCATGGAGAGTTGGGGCAAAGGATATGTCTCAACTGATTGATTGGTTTGTGCCACAGATTAATATTATATATAATTTTATATATTATCATTTTTATATAATACACATTATTATATGTTCTATATCATATATTATATTATATTATTGGTAACTTTATTTTTATTTCCTTGCTCACAGTTGTATTATGTTCTTTTTAAAAAACAGGTGCCTGGGTCTGGTGGGACCCTTGCAGGGAGAGGTGGAGGGAGGAGAGCAAGTGTGAGGTGCACCCACAACTTGAAGTGTAGAGAGGGGAAACTGCCAAGAGGAGGAGGAGGATGAGAAGGATGGTGGGCCTTAGAGGTAGGGGGAAGGCACTTCAGGGACAGGAGCGTGCTGGGCAGAGTTTGCTGGGAATCATTGCATTGACTAACCCCAGCCACAGAGGAGGAGGTCCATGTGTCAGGACTTGGTGGGCACAGAGAGAACGAGACATAAACCTTTTCCTTTCTTTTCTTGATTCTCTGCTCCCTCTTGATTAATTATCTCTGTTTCTCTTCTGAAGCGTATTTTTAATTTAAAGACCTTTTGGCCTCTTTGGAGGGGATGCTGTAAAGGGGGTGATGTAGGCAGATCCATCCCAAATTTCTGGCTAACTTGGAGTCTTATTATGCATTGCATCAATTAATTTTTCCTTTATGGCAAATGTGAGCAGGTCTCACATCACTCATCACTCTCTCACTGCTGGGTAAACTGAGTTGAATCATCTCAGATTTGCCATGCCCAGAGGCTGCCACCACCTCTTAGCTGAAACAAAGCAGCTTGTGAGACTGCAGTAATGGGATCTTGCATCTCAGCCCTCAGGAGCATGGACCCAGCTGTGTCTGGGGAATGGAGTTGCTGGGGACACTTTAAAACTAGATTTCATTAAAATAGATAAGCTATTTGCAATTACCTCATGGCATTTACAGCATTAGTTAGTGAGTTAATTGGAGGTATTCTGGTCTAAGTGGGGGATTCTCAGGAGTGACTTGAACATCAACAGGACGATAGCTTTGCACCCTGTGTTATTTCTTCTCCCTCTTCCCAGCTTTCCCTAGTTGTGCCACGAGGATAATCCTGAGAAATAACAGCACAGTATTTAACATTTGGCTTGGTAGCAATTACTGTCTGAAGACATGAAAGTGCCTTCAGAAAGCAGCGGGGTACCCATAATAACATTTCCCTGGTGGGGTGGCCAGGCATGGTGCAGCAGCCCAGCCTGGGCTGGGTTCCCAACCTCCTGCCCTGCCCACGGCGTTGGCGTTGCACGCTCAGGTAGCAACCGAGGTCTGTGGATCTGGTAGCAAAAAACTTCTGGCTTGAGCATGGCCAGGGTTTCACCCTGATGAAGCTTCAAAGATTAGTTTCTGTCTGGGGCTGGAAAACAAAAGGAGTTGCCAGCAAAAATATTAATTTTTATTTGTAGAGTCTCACTTAAATGGGATCTGCTTCAGATGTGCATTTACACTTCAGACATATTTTTATGTTGAAAATGTTTTCATTTGAAATTTGTTTAAAAAATTGATTTCACACACTTTTTTTCAAAACACTGCTAAATAAAAAGAAACTGAGCCCTGGGTTTTAAATAGTTAGATACCCATTATCTAACTACAAAGCAGTTTTTTAACGATATAATAGTTCTGATTGTTGAACAGGTTTGCAGGACATTGTTTTAAGTATGCATCTTAGGAGATATTTCAGTCCTTTGCTGAGTCAAAGCCAAAATTATATTTACAAATGAAGCAAAAGACAGCCATCCAGAAAATGCCGTGGCAAGGCTGAAATGCCAGTTGAATCCTAATTCTAGTTTCATATATTAGTCTGTATAAGCTTATGTCCACATGACCCTTAGCAAATTAGATCATCATTTTGTCACTCTGCCTCTGACCGGGCAGATAAATATACCAGTTTCAAACGTTAAAACCAAAGCAGGCAGCCTTATGGTAAGTACCTCCTGCAGAGGCATGATGTGAATGCAGGAGTGTGATGCAAGCAGCAAGAGAAAAGAAGTAAAAATAACTCTTCTCTGTTTTGCTCAGTTCCTCCCAGTTCTGCTGATTTGAATGCTTGCGTAAGTCTAGAAGCAGTTTTTACAGCTTTCCTTCTGACAAGGAAAAGCATATAACTACTGTTTTAAAGTAGGGGGCTTGGTTTACTGGCCTCCCCCATTGGATTCCTGTTCTTCTGTAAAACTGGGGCAGGTTAAACAGGTGACAAGCTGGAGGGGTCAGTAGAAGACTGTTGTGGTCACAGAATTGGCTTTGTTCATAAACTTTGTTACAGATACACTGCAAATGAAAGATGAGTTGCTTTCGTTGAGTTTTACTTCTTGGCTTCAGCAGGCTCATCTGTAGTTAATTCCTCTGTCTAGGAAGGTTTGCTGCTGCCTTCTTACACAGGCAGAAAGTGTTACGACCTCATCAGAGGAGCACTAAAGAAATAAAAGTGATCAAGTTCTTGCTGTGCTGTGGCTCTCAGAGCTAATTGGGAGATGGGCTAAGTACAAGGGGGGAGAGAAGGATTCTTGATGGATGTGTTGGAAGAGTTCATGTAATGGAGCTGACTGCAGGAGGAACCATAAATCTTCGTAAAAGGGTTGAAAACCCAGGAGGCTTTCGTATGAGGAGGGCAGGCGCTGCTGGTTCTGGGGTGAACATGCAGAGAGGGTCTGTGCTTGCTCCTGGTGAGGAGGAGATGTTTGCTGAGGGCACTTCATCTTCTCCAAGGTCTCGGGGTGTTGCAGAAGGAGAAGGCTTGGGCTGGGCGAGCCCCTGGTTGTGGTCTGTGTGCACAGATGGGTTTTGTCCCCCTGCTCAAACACAGCGTGGCAAAGGGATGCAGCAAATCAAGATGCATGATGCAAATATATGCATATAGCATTATTTCCCCTTCCATTCCCCGAAGAATGAATACAAAATCCAAGGGGTGAGTCTCTCACTGACTGTGCTTTGTGTTTCTGTGGTACCTCGGTGCCCTCAAGCCTCATTTTGGTCTCCTACGTTTGCTAAATGAAAATTAGCAAAGCAAAACCCTGAAGCTGCCTGGTGTGCACTGCTTCCCTGCACTTCATCCAGTGGTGAAGGGGCAAGAAGCCAGCAAAATCGCTCTTGTTTTCTCCATACTCCAGTGCCTCGGTTTCAGTCCCAGGGAAAAGGCTGCATTTGTTTGTAAAACAGCTGCTCTGATTGAAGAGGGAAGCGTGTGCTTGGCCTGCTTGGCGTGGTTCAAAGCTCTGTGGGCTGCGAAGCTCACTTGTTTGCAGGGACCTCTGAGGTGCTCTGAATGGTGGGGATGAAAAGACGAGCAGACTGAGATTTTTTGAGAAAAGGATGTGAAGAATTGGCTCTTGTTAGCCTGAGCTACTCGTCTCCATTAGCAGAACACATGCCTTAAGTGCTCTGATCTTGCTGGCTGCATTCAATTCTAATGATACAGTTATGCCTTTGTAGGTTTTCTGTAAATCTCTTACAAATTAAAATCTTCAACAGCGAGAAGCTAATGGTCCTGTATTCTTGTATGTTCAATACCTGACCTCTTAAAATAAGATATGGATTTGTTATTAGCCTCTGGAAAATGATAGTTGATTACACAAAAGATTGCTTTTTGTGTTGTGGGATTTTTTTTTTTTTTTGTCTGTCTCAAATATCCTCTCCAAGGGCTAGTTATGAAATTTGCTGCAGGGTACAGGTGTTTTGTTGTTGCTGTCTAAACAGATATTGAAATTACCATTCATTTTAGACATGCGTTAGTGCTTTATATAGCACGTTTATCAAATTACCTTTATATATCTTAACAAATCAATTCCTGTGCCCTTGGTGTGAAGTACTGCAGATACTGAGTAGGTAGTATATCTGCTTGCGGGCGATAAAACCAGAATTTGGGTAGATAGATAACTTCGATTAAGTCGCTTAAGCAGTGTAATCGCTGTCCTAGGGAGAAGATGGATCTGTGAGCCGAGAAAATCTAGCTTTGCTGGTGCTGGATTAACCTGGGACCTGCCACCAGCCCGGCAGAGCGTGTCTGCAAGCGGCAGCGTGCCCGGCAGCTGCCCGTCCTACCCCTCGCTAGCGCTGCAGCTTCAGCTGAGATTTGCAGCTGATTCACTCTGGTGCTTCTACCGAAGTGGGATATTCTGTCCTGGTTTTGCTATCTGGAGATTTTGAAAGCAAATAGATCTGCGATAGGGCAAATATCCTGCTGGAGGCACTGATAATTTAGGCACCTGTTGTTAAAACGAATGATAGAGCAAAAAATTGGGTACTGGGGATTTGATGTTCATTGCTGCTTTTTGTAATTGATTCTGATTTGCTTTTATTCCTCTTCTCATTCCTTAGCTATCCTGAGATTATTGGGTTTCTGATTTTGCTTGTTTTTCCCATTTATAAATGCTTGCTTTCTTAAATGTATTCTTATGGCATTATTACAGCTTCCTTAATTACACGTTGGCAGAGTGCTGCTTTGGTTTGGTCAATAACGAAGGGCATTTATAACAGGTTGATGCACGTGAGATATGTGCTCGTGCTCCTTGGAGGGGAATAATTTACCAGTACGAGCCATTATGCATTCTATTAAAAACACAAACTGGACATGTGTTTCTGGCCTCATCATCCATCACAGAGTAAACACCGAGCGAGCCAGAATCCCAGAAGAGGTGGTGAGAGACTGAAAGCAATTTATAAAAAGTAAATAACAGTATTGATCAATTCACCTTTTTATCACTGCCCTGTCACCACTGCCAAGCAGTGTTTTCATTTTGAGTTTCTCCCCCACCCCATCCTTCTGCCTTCACCAGCTGTTGATTTATGGAGCTTTCTCTGGGGCACTGGAGCACATTTAAACTATCTTTTGTACTTGTAAACCCACCAAAAATACAAATATATCTGAAAAAGAGCCTACTTCCTTCTGAAGTGGTTTGCCCTGGCAGATAGGGATCACAACTAAGAGGGACTGCTGAGAGAGAGCTTGGGTTTCTGCACACCAGCTTCTGCCTCTGTGCCTTGATCCATCTCTTCCCTCAACTCCCTTTGCTGCCATCTCCGTTTTACAGACAGGAAAGCAAGACCTGGAGGCAAGTCTGGGCATCTGAACCATGTCTTCCTGCAGCAAACAGAATTACCAAGGCAGTGTCCACAGCAGAAATGAATGGGTAAAGAGGCTTTACTCATCTGTGTGTCTTAACTCCAAAGACCACAGCCCTAAAAAAATAATAATGTACTTTCAGGTGTTTTTTCTTAATTGCAGACAAATTAGAAATGGTTTATCCAAAAGCTCACTAGGAATCTACATATCTAATGCCTCTGATCTAGACTGAGCCACCACTTCAGTGAGATTGCAGCGCTCTCCCCTGTAGAAAGGCAGCCCTTACGCAGAGGCACGTTGTCACCCTGTGTGAACAGCCCAGGACTGTTAAAAACGTGGGTCCCAGGGTGGCTGGGGCAGGCAGGGACAGCCTGGTCCCGGCTGACAGGCAGAAAACCCAGCTGGGCGCTCTGCTGGGGCACTGGGAAAGACTTAGGGATGCCAGAGGTGAATTAATGAAGTTTGTAACTACTGTGAACAGCAAGTGACCGCTCTGTGCTTTGAGATTTCAGTATCTTAACTTTGTATCTTACGCCTCTTGAGTGAGAATGATTATTCATTAAGTCTCTCTAATTTACCCTTCAGATTTGTAGGTGCTGACTAATAATGGTAGTTTCATAAAGCCTTTCCATTTTATACTAAGTGATTATTTAAAACAGAGGGCTGCCGTTTGTTAAAGTTTGGGTGCTCTGATGGTAGGGACAGTTGTATGCACTTGTACATGGCTATTCCATTTAACTGAAGTCTCAAGAAAATCTGTTTGGAAAACACAACTTCCAAAAAAGGAGCAAACAAAACCCGGAATGATTTTTGTCCTTAAAACTTGCTTTGTTTCCTAATGGACAAAGCACTTGGTTTGTGCTTCTGACACTGGAAGCTTGTGCTGCATTCAGTGCTGACACCAGCTGTGATGCTGCAGAAGGATGAGGTCTTGCTCTCTGCTCAGAGACTGATCATGGACAGGATCCCCACTCAGGTCACAGGGTTTGTAAGGCAGACACCAAGATAAATGCCATTTCTGCAGAGCTTGAGGCATGTTGTTGTCTATACTTGCTTTTTTTTTTTTTTAAATTTCCCCCCTTTTTGCTCTTTTTAAGTGTTCGCTGTCTCCAGATGCATTGTTCCAGCCGTGGCTGGGTCACGTTTAGAGATGGCCATCCCCAACCCACCACCAGAACTGTGGAGATCCTCCCTGACCCCTTTCTGTCACGTTGTCTCTGCTTTGAAACTAGTAAACAAACCTCGCAGTGAAAAGTATTTTTGCTAACCTGGATCGTTGTGACAGAACCAGGCTAGGGAGCGATTAAACATGCAGCAATGCCAGGGCTCAGGGTTTGCTAGCAGGGTCTCCCATCACCACTGCTCGGACCACTGCGGTGTAGACTTCCCACAGCAGCAAATACATCCCCTGTATTGGAAAAGAGAACAGCAATAGTAATAACAGAGTGCTGCGTCTTTGTCCCCTGTGCTGTTAGTCAACAGTGTGTGGTCTTCTCAATTAGAGGGGGGACTTCTGCATTGATTTTAGCTGCTGCACCCCATCCCTCCCTCCCACTGCTCAGCTCTGCCTGGTGTGTGTTGGTCTATCTGCTGTCTATCTGCTGGCAGGTCCGTGCCATGGACAGGCTGAATATAGGCACGAGCCCTTGGGGAATCTTCACAACCCATCTGCTTCTCCTTGACCTATGGCTGCAAGCTGAACATGAGTGTCCAGAACAAAATTATCTGGCACCATGCTCCAGTAAGAGATAGGGAAAGTAATTCTTCTAGGCTCTGTATCATTCAGCAATCACATCGCTGTGGCTATTACAAAATCAGTCAGGGTCTGCTCTTCGCTGTCTGACCTAACTTTTGTACTCAGCCCTGCTATGACGGAGATTGGCTGTCTTTTTGCTCTGTTCAGTGCAGAAGGCTTATTTATACTGGGAGAGGGTATCCTTAAAGGTGATGGGTTAGCACATATGTTTTTAAATCTCATAAATGAACGTAAACAACAAGAATCTAGAACAGAGAGGTTGATACGGGGAAGCAATTACTCCTTTATGTCTGACTTTCTGGGGTGCTCTCTAACTGCTGTTCAGGCAGGTGGATCTCTGTGTGGTTGATGCCACGTGCCTCACAGATATTTTAATCTCTGACCTGCACCTGATATGTTCAGATGCTGCAAGTTTCTTCCTTCCCACGCAGATCAAAGCTTCTGTCAGCTTTAAATGAGATGATGCAGTTCCCATAGCAAGGCTGGAGGGACTGATGCAAGGTGAGAAGGATGCTCTTGGCATATGTTTGGTGTGTGGATGGCAGAGAGGTCAGGAGGGTTCCAGTCGTAAATGTCTCTCGGATTTCTCAAGAGAGCAGCAGGTCTTGCAGGGAAATTTGAAAGTGCAAATGGTCCTAGAGATACATCTTTCATGGGCTGAAAAAGTCATCAGGGTTGGGCAGTAGAGAAGAGTTGGAAAGCACCCCTTCCAGCTCCAACACCAAGACAAGCCCTGATTTTTCTGGTTGTATGATGAAGTGGCCTAGGGAGGTGAACCAGCTGGAAAACGGTCGTTTACCTAGTTTTTCCTGGGTTATTTTCCACCTGGAAAATTTCCCAGCCCACTTGACTTCAAGAACACAGAAATACTTCTATTAACCACAGCACTGAGCTAGGTACTCCCTAGGCAGCAGGGCTAACGTCTGACTGCTGCCACAGCCGGTGACTCACTTGCTGTCTCGTGTCAGAGATGTGGGTGAGTGGATGTTTAACAGTCCTGGGATCGGGCAATCCCACCTCTTGCTGCTGGACACCACACGTCCTCCCCTTCAGGAGGAGTGGGAAGGAGGCGGCTAGCTAACTTGGGCAAAGGGCAACCAACAAACTTTTGCAGGGTTTTACTTTTTTTCCTGGTGCAGCTTCCAGAGTTCAAGTGTGAAGTATCATTTTCTCAAAGGAATATAAATTTCCTTTCCTTATGACTTCTTCTTCCCATTAACCATCCTTGCACTATATAGTAGATTCAATACCAAGCTTAGTACCTATGTGTCTCTTTTGCAGCTGCAAGCAGAAAGCCTGGGGAGCCTTTGATTATCTCTGACATCAAGAAGGGGAGCGTAGCACATAGGTGAGTGCAGAATTTCCCATCTGCCAAACCCATTTCAAAATGTCTGGCCCAGTAACGAGAGGTAGAATGAAGCCGAAGCAGTATTTTGCCAGCATATAAGAAGATCTCAACCTTAGAGGTTTGTCTTAGACCACAGTAGGGTTTGTAATAAAAACTGTACTGAAGCAAGTAGAGCTGAGCTAATGGAGAAAGTGGCCAGGGCACTGATTCAGATGTCTGCTGACCCTATGGGACACGGATGTTTATCATTTAAGAGCATGTGGCAATGGGCTTCATATATCCCAAACGGTGCTGTGGCTCATCAGGTAGTTTGCCATGTCTCAGCTACTGCTCAGGTGAACAGAGTGAGTGAATTGTGGGCACTGGTGGAGAACTGTGCAAATAACTCAGCATTTATTGACTTCCTCTCTGATCCCAACACCTCATAGCAAGGCTTTCAGAGGAATTTAGTGCTGCTGGAGGGCTCATTTCTAAAGAGTGCTCATACAGGAGTTTCCATAAAAGGTAGAATATCTGTCAGTTAAACATCAAGCATTTTTCAGTGCTGTAGGTTACCCAGGCTGTATATCTAATCTTCCTGCCTTGTTCTGTGTTGATGCACACTCTGCACAAACTTCCTCTCTTTAAGTTAGAATTGTCCCAGACTCCATTCATGGTTGTTTCCCAGAAAAGATCAAGGACAGCAAAAAGTTAATATTGTCACTGCCACTGCAGGACTGAATGTGTCATGAGATCTGAAAGGCAAATACAAATGTACTTTTAGTTTTCTTTTCCTTTCCACATAGAACTGGCACCTTGGAGCCGGGAGACAAGCTGTTAGCCATTGATAACATCCGACTCGACAATTGCTCAATGGAGGATGCTGTGCAGATTTTAAGGCAGTGTGAAGACCTGGTCAAATTGAAGATTAGGAAGGATGAAGATAACTCTGGTATGGAAATCCTGATGCAAACCGGTGCCTGTCCACTGTAATGACATTTCCCAATAGGTAGTGCAGACCAACAAAGATAAGGGCTGCTGCCTGTCCGGTCACCACTTCCCGATTGATTATAGCCTGGCTTTGTTATTCAGCCCGTAAATGGAGTCTGGAAGGTTAAAATCCTGTTTGGTGTGAGCATGGCTGAAGACCTTAGGATTTTGCTTCTAAATTCTGCAAGTCTTTCCTATGACCTCTTTCATTTGACTAATTAAAAAGTTCCGCGTTCCTCTTTTCTCTTTCAGACGAGCAGGAGACAACCGGTGCTATTATCTACACGGTGGAACTGAAGCGATACGGCGGCCCTTTGGGAATAACCATCTCCGGCACGGAGGAACCCTTCGATCCCATCGTCATTTCGGGCTTGACTAAACGAGGGCTGGCAGAAAGGTGAGGTTTGGGGGCAGAGCGGTTGAGTTGATTTGGAAAGGGATCTTGAACTTTGCCAAGTTTCCTTTTCTGTCAGAAACTCTTCTTGAGTGTTTTAGTCTGCTAAAAAGGAAAGGTGCTATGAAGGTACCAAGTGGTTGGGAGTGTGCTGTTAGGGCTGTGAGAGAGGCTTAAAGCAGGGCACTTCTGCAAAAGTCTGAGCCAGTGTGTCAGCTGAATGCAGGAACACATGTTTATCTGTCCCTCTTCTACAGAGGTGCTTCCTGGCCTGTGATTGCCCACACACATCTTGCGTGGGGAGAGTGCCCAGCCTGCCCATGAAACCACTGTAGACTCCTGTCCAGGACTCACCTATCTCTAAACTGCAGCTTACAGCCATGACAGTGGTGTGTCCTGCTGAAACCACAACCTTGCTGGTTGCTCAGTCTGTTACATGTGGAGGTATCTCGGCGCAGGGCTGGTGTGCCTCAAGCAGCAGACATTTATACTGTATAAATGTAGGTGCAGGTCTACCTTGGGCAAGCAGGGAGGTTGACTTTGTGTGTGCCTGTGTCTGAATGTATGTGCATGCGTGGGATTTAAAGGACATTGCTGAGAATATAAGGTGGAACTGAGTCATACACTATATCTTAATTCATCTGTCTATACGGTAGCTGTGACTTGTAAATAAATTGTTTCAGCGGTACTGACTCACGCTTCTCATAGGATTACTTTGCCCTGTGCTGCCTGACAGGCTGAACAGCAGAAAAAAATCCCTGAAAAAATAGGTGTGAAGTACTAGACTTTGGGGAGATTTGACTGCAGATCTGGCCTTTTGGTTCGTCTGTTTCAAGGCCACACTCCCTCTTAGCTGGACTATAAAACAGCTCAGTACCTCTTTCTGCACTGGGCTCCTCAAACTCTCAGCACGCAGGCTGCTGCACATTTCCATTGCTTCCCTTTGGTACGGAAAGCAGAACATCACTGTCTCCTGAGAAGTAAGGAAGAGGGATGGACTTAGTCATTAGTGCTTCTTCTCTTTGGGGATTTTAAATCACTGCCTGCCACTGTAGGATTCAGTCTTCTTCCCTAGAAAATAATAGCCACAGAGTATCTGAGATTTTTCTGCATAGCAGTTCTGCACTGTACCTGCAGCCCAGCGTGAGAGAGGTTAAGGACAGAAAGCCCAAACGCTGTCAGGTGTCAGAAGACAGTCTTGTACCCTTGTTGCTCTCAGTTCCCTTTGCAATGCCGTGGCTGTTTCTCCTTCGAACTCAGATACACATCAATGACTGCTCCATGGAACAACATAGCGCACGCAAGTGCTGCGGTACTATTGAATTTTGATCAGGAGCTGGCAGGCAGTAAGGAATGAAAAGCTTTTTGAGAAGAGCAATGGAGCTGTTCAGGATGTTCACCGTAGCTGACTCACAAATAATGGTGCCTGTGCAGAGGAGCGGCATGGGGATGGAGCAGCGCTGGGATTTCTCTGGGTAACCTTGGCTCCCTGCAGGGAGGGCGAGGAGCCTTGGGATGAAGGCTGCCTGCAGGAAAGGTGCATGTTTTTTCTCCTGATAATAACAGAAAGGAGTGGCTTGACCTTGTCAAGGGAAGAGGGGTGGTCCTCAAGTGTCCCTTTCCTACTGTCACTACCCTTCCCTGTGTCACAGGTGCCCTTAGCCAGGCTCTGAAGGGTGGGACTGGTTTCTGAAGGACAGGGATTTAAACCCAACTCTGTGCCTGGCTTTTGCTGGAGCACAGGACGTGTTTCAGCAGCACTGGCACGGGTGGACCAGATCCCAGTATCTGATAATGGGAATGTGCTGTGAAGGTCCATGCTGCAGCTCGGGCTGCTCGCTTGGTGATGGGGAAGGCAGGGCGTCCTCTAGGATCTGTCACATGTCTGTCACAGCGGGTGACAGGCTGTCTAAGCTGAAAAGGCTCCAGATTCAGATGACTTGGGTTTTATCTTAACCTTGAACATTTTTCTCCTTGTATGTGTCTGATCTTACAGAAACCTACAGAGGCAGCTCAGGCTGTTGGATCGGTGTTGAGCAGTGGCTGTCTCCCATGTTTGTCTCTGTTTCTCCTCCTTCAGGCCCTGCAAGTGGCATTTACCCTCGTCCATGGACTTGTTTTCCTCCTTCTTGGGGAAGGAAGTGTGCCTGAACAATACTGTTCAATTCTAGTTGTGGTGTAATGGTTCCCCAAGAGCAATTCTGGGCTATCACTGGCATTTTAAAGTGCCTGACCAGTCTCCTCTAGAGCCACCTGGGCAAGTAGATGGGGGCTGACAGGAGGATTTTGTCCAGGAGTGTCAGCACCAACCCATGTTGGCAGGGAGGAGGAGGGATGGTGGCCCTGCCCATGTGCCAAGTAAGTCCCTACCATGTGCACGTGGACACCTCTTCTCCAGTGCTTGCTGGGAAGTGCCTTCAGCCCCTTTTACACCTTGCAACTTATTTGTTGCTTGATTCTGCTCTTGCATGTGTCCTCTGAGCAAGAAGGAACATGGAACATGCAGCTCCTTGGCCTGGTTTGTGTTTGAGGTGAATTGTGGACTGTCAGTGATGGTGGAGTGGCACAAGGGTCATTAGACAGAAACACCTTTCTCTGTCGCTCCCACTCGGCTTCTGTCTGCTTGTCCAGACAGGGGTGCCTGGAGATGGGCAGATGGGAGGACTGGACTTTGATTTACTTTTCCCTCCTTGAAGAAAAACACCTGGCTGAACGTGACTTTTCTCTTTAATAGTTTCTGTACTTTTCCCTGTTGAGGGACTTTCACAGTTACTGCAGAGCTGTTGTTCAGAGGCGCGTGGTTGGGCTGGTGGCTGGGTAGGGGAGTGATCTTACCCCTGGGCTTGGCACTGGTGAGGCTGCACCTCGATTCCTGGGTTCAGTTTTGGGCCCCTCACCCCAAAAAGGCCATTGAGTGACTCGAGTGTGGCCAGAGAAGGGCAATGGAGCTGGGGCAGGGTCTGGAGCACAGGTCTGCTGGGGAGCGGCTGGGGGAACTGGGGGGGTTCAGTCTGGAGAAGAGGAGGCTGAGGGGAGACCTCCTGGCCCTCTGCAACTCCCTGCCAGGAGGGGGCAGAGAGGGGGGATGAGTCTCTGGAGCCAAGGCCCCAGCGCCAGGCCCCGAGGGAATGGCCTCAAGCTGCCCAGGGCAGGGTCAGGCTGGCTCTGAGGAAGGATTTCTGTGCAGAAGGGGCTGTTGGGCGTTGGAATGGGCTGCCCAGGGCAGGGGGGAGTCCCCGGGATCCCTGGAGGGGTTGAAGAGTCGGGCTGAGCCAGCGCTGAGGGGTCTGGGGGAGTTGGGAAGGGTCAGGGGGAGGTTCATGGTTGGGCTGGAGGAGCTGCAAGGGCTTTTCCAACCCAGATGACTCCGTGCGATGCCCAGGGAGCTATTGAGCAGTAACAAGTCTTGGCCCTTATTAATTTTAACTTCATTTTCAACTGATAAGCAAAGATTAAAGGCACCATCGCCTGAATCCTACACGCAGCTCACCACTTCGTTTTGTGAGGGGGCAGGGGGTGGGGACCGCCCTGTATCCCTGTGAATTTCTGAAGACAGAAAGTTTCCAAACAACACGTTTGGTACATGCACCCAAGAAGCCCACACAAGGGCACGAAGAACATCATTTCCTTCCCCCATGCCAACCGCTGCTCTGTTATTTTAAGCAGATAATTTTTGGAAAAGAAAACGCAAGAAGCAGAAGAAACTCTGTCAAGCTGCAACGATTAATAAATGCCAAACAGATGCACACCATCCTCCGCGGGATGATGTATGCGACAGGCCAGGGCAAACCCCAGCGAATGCATTTCCGAGCTCAGCGCCTGAGGGCTGGAACAGGTAGCAACAGAGAGGGG